AGGTGGGGGCCGGGCTCCTCCGCCGGCCCGTCATACTCGACCATACATACGACCGGAGACGAAGGATGCATTTCATGTGCCTGATGTCAGAAAGCAGACAGCTGACTGGGCAGATGGGGGTGGGATTAAAGGGGGGGGGGGTTACTGTTCATCTGTGGAAACCATAGATTTATCTCACCCTTAAAATGGATTAGGGAAAATTGTAATCCATCCTGGATAATTGGTTTTTAACAGCCAAGAAACTCCGTCTGTGACCTGGAACTGAAAATTCACTCTCAACTTCTGCTCTGGTCGTTCACATTCATGTACAGGACATTGTTTTTATTGTTGTTTCTTTTTAATTTGCTCTTCTCTAAACTGTTTTCTCCTGCTAGAGGAAATCAATTCATCTTCTATGATTAATGGAGAAACACTTCACTGAGGCTCACACTGGGTAGAATTCCAGACAGATGATGAAAACTACTGCGATGAACTTGGTGAATATGGATCAGAAACATTTTTAAAAAACGGTGTTTCTTGGAAATCTTTCAGGCCCATGGCAGAACTCCGATGTCCACTTATCATTGGTTGATCCACACGGTTGATACGATTATTCTTACTCACTGTAGGGAACAGTTTGAATTTCACCAAAGCAGCTCATGCTTAAAATATAACTTCATCCCCCATCATGCATAGGGTCAGAGCAGCTGTGAAAAAAAAGCAAAATAAAAATGTATTTTTTTCTTCCAAATTTAAATTATTAATTATGAACCACAGCTGCAGTTCGATTAGTCAGTTAAACTGTTTAACATTCCTAATGTCATTTATTTGTGATAATAATGAGCTACACTGACCCACCGAGAGGTAAAAAAACCCAACAAATAATCCATGGGTTTAATGAATTGAATGAATTTAAAATAAATACATTTTGTGCTTTTATACTGCTTTATGGCTTTCACCCTAAAACGGAGAACCTCCGGTGTCTGGTTGTCCAAGAATGATCTTGGGCTGAGGACAAGGACCCTGGAGGCCCAGCAGACAGGACAGTTGGTCAGACAGGACAGTTGGTCAGACAGGACAGCAGCCAAATCTGGTGACAGGTGGCAGGAAACTCTACTGGTGGCAGCAGCAGCAGCAGCAGCAGCAGCGTGGTGTGTCCAGACCAAGACTAAATCCAAACCACTGGTCAGAGATTTCCCTCCGTCTGATGAAACCGTATCTCATCAAAGCTGTGAAGCCTGTGTGGCTTCAGCAGTGAACAGGTGCACAGATCAGGACTGCACCTCAGGTGATAATCTCCTGGTCAGCCTGGTGGCCATGCTGTACTCTGCATGACCTCATGTTTCCACAGACCACTTCCTCATTCTAATGCAGGCCTGCTGCCAGCGCCACATCCAGACTCTCATTAGACACCGTACCAACATGGGTCACGGAGGCCGTGAGGGTCAGTGTGTGTGTGTGTGTGTGTGTGTCAGAACATTCATGTTCAGGCGTGTCAACACACATTTGACGCTGTTGTTAGTAGAAGTGTTGAATGAAGGTGTAGAGAGAAATGCCCTCTAATGGTGGTTGCGAGCTTATAAAATGGCAGTGTTATGGTCTGTGTCTTGACCAACTACAGTGCAGTAAAGTAAACGAGCTTTGATATCCACCCTTTCATATTTGTATTTGAGTGCGAAGATGACGACAGGTAACGGTGGCCATGTTCACCTCTCTGATGGTTTGGTTTGCAGCTCCAACACACCGTGTGCTGAGCCACATCCCAGCTCCAGAGCCGTGTTTCAACTTTCAACCCGGACTGGTTAAATATTCCCTTTATAAAAGACAACTTTGATCACTGTGATCTCTACAGGGAAAATACGCGCTAATGCATGATCAAAGAGATCGGGATCTGGTCCACGTCGAACCATATTCATCTTCAATATTCAACCCAAATCAAATGAGGTCAATGTTAAATGAGGCACGCTGCCCCCGTTCTACCAGGCTGTGATACATTAGACTTCCACTTCACCATCCGTCATGTTCTGTGATTCCATCACAGACCGGTGTTCGTTGCACTGGGAACCGAGGAGAACGATGAGGCAAGAAGCAGGGAATCTGAGGCAAACACTTAACCCTCCACTCCAGCTCGCTGCTGCAAGACGGTGAAAGTGAAAGTCCTCAAGATGATGGAACTACAAGGCTCGCTGCTGCAAGACGGTGAAAGTCCTCAAGATGATGGAACTACAGAGACCGAATCAGAACAAAGAAAGAGAACAGGACTGTGTTTATTTTACTGTGGGCTGATTGTAGTCGTGAGGAAGAGAGAATGTCTGGGTGAACAGACGCTTCAGACCACGCTGTGTGGTAAATGACTTTGGTTCTGGATCACAGGCTCCCTCCTCAGGTGTGTCTGTGTGCGTTGGTGTGATTTGAACCACTGCCTTGGTAATTTCATGGCCCTGATGGACTTTAATTCCAAGATTTAATATCGTCCTTGCACCTGTCCCACTTCCCTGTTCTGCGTTCTCCCACCTTCTTCAGCTGACCTCATACTCCCTCGCCTCTGTGACTGGTGAAATATATTATATATATTATGTATATTATATAAACAGGAATGTGTTTTTAGAATAATGTGTAATACCCTGAGGTGGTTCAGACTGCTCCAGAATGTTCCTTCCAACTCGTTCCACATCTGTAGCTTTAGCACCGTAACACACTGTACTGCAGTCAGACACAGGACGATGACAGGAACAGCTGCTGATACAGTACAGAATGTGACTGTCTAATTCAGCCTTTTGTGTCTCATAATTATCACTCATTAAGGGTGAGTGCGTAATTAACAGTATCAGGCTGCAGAGACAAATGAAAACCTCAGGGAGGACATGATGAAACGTCTTCTGTGAGAGTGGAGACTGGTTAGAGGATGGAGGAAGTCAAGGGTTTTTAGAAGGTATTGGTTGGTTATGATGAGGATATTGAACCTGATACTGTAGTGAGGAGTTAACATCTGATTATGGTTAGGCACAGGTCTATTGTTATTTAACTGAATACATGGAAATGAACGGAAAATCTACACTGTATCAAGAAAAACATGCACATAAAATGGTTTGACAGGAATGGTAGAAAAAATGATTCAATATCTTTGGTTCTAATATAATATAACATTACATTATTTGCTTCCTAAGGTTTTGTTTTTTAATAATTTCTTCATTTCCTATATCTACGTATTGGCTACTCACTGAAGCTCTTCTTTTTTCTATTTCTATAATCTCACTTTTTTTCACCAGATTTAGTCAGAAATTAAATAATCTGTCAACAAATTTCTATTTTTTTAATTCAGTCATCGTTCTCTCTCTCTCTCTCTCTCTCTCTCTCTCTAACTGACTGTGACTGGAGGAAAATATAAAGCAGAGTGAGTGATGAGTGTTCTGGGTGAAAATGTTGAGGTCAGGTGTTTGTGAGCGCCGTGTGACTGTGGAGATTATGACGAGGAGAAGTACAGTAGAGAAGTGTGAGGAGGAATGCAGTGGAGCTGGGTGAAGTGATGAGGAGGAGGATGGGTCTTCATCAGATGAAGAATCCCTTCTCTCTTCAAGGTTACGGTGATTATTAGGCCAGAGGTAGAAAAACAATTATAGCAGTGTTGATTAAACATTCATCATTATGAACTACACTGCACTGAGGGGCTCAGGTGTGTGTGTGTGTGTGTGGCATTAGTTAGCATTATTTACACATAATATGATAATTTTCTTCAAAAAATTCAATTTATGTGAGCAACCGTTTATTAGACTTTTGTTCAGACATGTAAATCAGATCCTCAGGTGGGTCGCAAGAGTTTTTGTTTTTTGGGTCGTCTCGCATCATGTTTCCCAGGAGTTTATGAATAATGTCTATTGACTTGGGTCGCAAAGGTTTGTGACTTTTCTTGGTGAACCACAGTATAGATGCTGTGACTTCACTGCAGCTGGAGAACGAGCTGTCGCACTTCAGCTCTGCTGCTCTGCTGCTCTGTCTTTTCATTTGTCGTCCAATCACTGACTTCCTCATTAAGAAGGGAGAAAAGTCCTGAGCAGCATTTCAGGAAACCTCGACTCATATTAAAGGTTTATTTATAACTGCAGGACGGTCGATACCGCTGCAGTATTAATGGACTAACACGTTTGTGCTGTAAGAAGAAAAAAAAACAGTCAATAATTCCACCACGTGACTGAATTAGTTCACCATTTAAATGCCATTAAGTTTAAATGCTCCCCAAGTTAGTTTGGCAGACAATGTCATTCCTTTCCTTTTTTTGGCCACCCGTTCTTTCTAACCTCGTCTACTCGTTCCATCTGCTTCCAGCGCCTGGAGTTGCTTTGCCAGCAAGTTTTGACTTTATCAGGTGTTTTCACTGCAGAGAAGCTGAACGGTGTTAGCACAGAGCTGTGAGCGCTGAGCTGCAGAGAGCGTGGGCAACTGATACGTTTAATGAAATATTTGACAGGTTGTCTGTCCCCGTGTGCCCCCACAGAGACATAAACAGTTACTGCTTCTTCATCCAGACAGATGTTTCTTCAGGATGAACTGATGTCCAGTCTCCCCCTCTTCATGGTTGTCCATGGTTTCCATGGTCGTGTTGTGGTTTGTAGGTCAACCTGCTAATATTTGTGTCTGAGTTCAACCTCCTGGCATGTCGTATCTCAGCACTTCAGTCTTTTGTGTGTTTTGCACCCGCCCACTTGTTTTTTCACACCAGCTCAGACATGTGATATCAGAGAACAAGGCGGAGGAGGGGGGGGGGCAGCAAGTGAGATGGTGGGTGTAACTGTAACCCCTCAGATGGAATAAGTGGGCTGGCTTAACTGGGGTCTGGAGAGGAGGAGGAACTCCACGAGAGAGAGAGAGAGAGAGCAGACAGATGTAGAAGAATGAACGGCTCCAAGCGGCAGAGTTGCCATGGCTACGGGGAAACGGATGAATGAGTGACATCACAGTGGCGGGGAGGTGAGAGAGTGTGAAATTGATTTGGTGGTGGGCGCACAAGGAGTCGGCTCCTGTTGGGGTTCTCGTCGGGCAGAGACGTTTCCCTCTCCTCTGTCCCCGGTGTCTCCTGTGGTTGGACTCAAACTGGTGAGACTGGTTTTCTTCCTCTCTTTATTTCAATAAGCTAGGAAAGAGTTGAGTTGAGAATGTTAACACTGAGTACTCTTTGGCAACACATGAGATGAACATGGATCATGAATAATGCCATTGGCTGCTGCTGCTGCTGCGGCTACTGCTGGGGGGGGGGGTGGGTCCACAAGGGACAAGAAGAAAGGCATACATGTTGAGCAGTTGTCATTGGTCTAAATATATCATGAGATGCTTGGTGGGTGTTTGAGACGGAGATCCAACAGCTGATTACAGGCCACTGAGAAATCCACAGCACATGGGTCTGTTGTCACACTCAGAGTCCATGTGTTGTGGATGTGTTTGTGTGCGTATGAAAGAAGAACACGTCGCCGAGCTGCTGTTTTATCATCGAACAACTTTGTCTGTTAGTACTTTTTGTCATCATGTGGGTTCTGGTCCCTCAGTGGGAACTCAAATGTTGTCCCTCTGAGCCGGAGGTTTTTGCGATGAGGCTGTGAGTGTGTGTCCAGTGCCGGAGTGTGAACTTCAGCAGGGATGTCTGCTTTTGTTGAGGTGCACCACCTTCCACAGACATCTCATTCGAAAACGTCTGCGTGGTTTAACTGGACGCCTGATTAATGACAGTGTTGACCCATGTTGACCACTGGAGGTCAGAGCAGAGCTGATCAGAATCTTTAGTTCAGAGGCGTTGGCCAGAATCCTGAGTAGGCAGGTGGATGAGTTTTGGATTTGGTTGGGTTGTGGGTTAAAGTCCAGACCTGGTAGTAAATGATACCCGTGACTGAGGGAAAATTGTTGGCTACAGAGTGTATGAAGCAGAGTGTGTGTATCAGCCCAAAAGGAGTGTCTTAATAAACCACTGTGAATCTGCCAGGTTTTTGGACGACATGGTTGAGAGTAAAACTAGGTCAGTAGTAAGTTTCCTTCTCTCTCTCTCTCCCCCTCTGCCTCTCCTCCCCTCCTCCCCCCCTTGACTCTCTCTGCTGTGAGAACAGAGCTGCTAAAAACAGTTAAACCCTGCAGCTAAACACAACACGGCACAGGTTTATAGTAACGAGACAGTATTTGGCTGCAAGCTGTTACACACACACACACACACACATCTAGAGTCTTGTGGAGAATTGTTTGGTTACTGTGAAATTCTAACACTAACGGACAGAGAGAACGCTGGAGTCTGAGGAGAGAATCAACAACAAGTGTTCAGTAGAAAAGCTTTTAAATAAAGTCCACTGATGTTTTGAAGCTATGGCTAATGAAGACAGGAAAAGTTTGTGAACCACTGGTGTGTCTTGGTCTGTGGGAATAGACGGGCTAGAATTCCCACAGACGGTTGAACACCAGTCACTGGATCAATAACAGCGCGTCTCTCTGCACGTCCTCGTGGACGCTGCGATCAATGTGTCTGCTGCTGCTAGGAAGATTTGCCGTATCAGCAGTTCTCAGAAAACAAAAGAGCAGCGACGTTTTTGTTTGCATTGAGTCAAACCGTGAACACAGTCAGTTTGAAGTACTTTTCAAGTCGTGCATCACTTCGTTCATGAGCCGAAATCAATAAACGGTTCCAACACGTACTGCTGCAGACTGACCAGACACGGGGCTGGTCTGATTAATGGGATGTGACTGAAGGTTGGTGGGTTTCAGTGTTGAGCTCTGACAGACGGAGAGAACAGTGAGTCGATTGGAGAAATCTTTTTTTTTTCAGGCATTTTTTAAAAACAAATCAATGTGAGGCTCAGGCAGGCGTGTCCCGCTCTGACACAAACGTTGACAGTGATGACTTTAATGTCCATGTTACACAGGTGTAAGTGATAATCAGTGTCTTAATTAGGACTGTCAAATCGAATTAACCCGTTTTAAACAGTGAAGATTCAGCACAGACGATAGAAATGGTACTGGAGCTGTCCCCAGGATCGATTGTGATTATTTACGCACACGATTAATCGTGATTAATTGAAATCTTAGAACAGCTGTTCTGACCAATCAAACCTCCTGCTCCGTCCTCTATTCACCGGTTGTCTTAGTACGAGTTCGGACACTGCAGTCTTCAAACACTGACTTACCACGTCCAATCAATTCTCTCGCCTGGTGCCACAGTGTTGCCTCTAAGCAGTCTGTCACTCTGTTGTTGTGGAGTGCTGCACAGACACAGTTCACCAAAGTATGGATGTGTTTTTTCTGGCCAAGACCATAACCGTCCTCTCACTCAGAGCCAACGTTGATGTTGACATTTTATTTCCACCTGACGTCACTTCTCACGGCCTCAGCAGTTTGTGTTACATGATGACACAAACATGTTTGTTCGTGCTACAGTTTTAAATCATGCCTTTGGTTACATGATGACACAAACATGTTTGTTTTTTTGTTTTAAATTCATTTATCTTTTATTTTGTGCTCACTGTAAGCACTCGTCTGTTCTGGTTTGCTTTGGTACAGACCGAGTGGAAAAGGTTTCGTCATCTTCCTCGTGTCGGAGCTGTCGGACAGACGGCCTTGTCCGTCTCATCAGCGTCTATGAGCTGGTGAAAGCAACACACGCTGCGTCCAACAGACAATGATTGACTCACACTGGCCGGGCTTTGATCCCACTTCAGTACAAACGGTCAGTGTGACTGTTGTCTTTACACTGACACCACCGTTACATACAGCCGTCATCTGTTCTGCTGTCTTCATCATGTGCTTTTCCTCACGCAGAACATTGTTTTCCCAGTAAGTCACGTACACGCTGCTCTGATTGGCTGGCCTTGTTACCATGCATGACTTTAGAAGTGATAGAGAAAAACAATTCGTTTTGCAAAAGCTGTAAAATGGAGATCAGATTTAATGACTTCAACTCAACTCAGGCAGAAAGTCTAGATTTGAGTTAATATGCAGACATTTGAGTCCTGTTTCCAGGCTGTTCCTAATGTTCATACGCCTCCGACGACCATACGTTTCCAAGTGAATCGTTTATTTCCCTCTGTGTGGACTTGACCACAGAGCTTTGCATCATACTGAGAATCGTGTAGATGTGCTTGAAGGCACTGATCCATCCTGGAATCCTCGTCGTCCTGTGAAATTATGATCTGGTATTAGGAGTATTACTACAGATGCCTGCTGATGGGTTTAAACCCAGACTGATGGCAGTGATATCTAGCCTACAGGAGTTCACCCGTACTGCACCAACTACCCTGCTCGTAGGCACTGATTTAAGACTGCTGAGCACCCACAAGTGCCAGTCTACACTTCATCCGTCATTGATCTGTGCATACACACACTCACACACACACACACTCCAGCAGAACCATAAATCGGAGCCCCTGACTTGGCCCCTGCTGGCAGCTTAAATATTGCACCTATGTTGATTCTAGTATATATTTTTTGGTAGTTTTTGCACATTTTGTTGTATTTGTAAAGACTGATTCAGTAGTAAGTAAACAGACGATTTATTTGTAATGTTTTTGCTTTTTTTTTTTACCCCTCATTACAAAAATGAATAATTTACAGTCAGAAAAGGAAAAAAGGCATTTAATGCTTTATTAAAAAACACAAAATGTGAATGTATAATGATAAATGACAGCAAAGTGCTTCTTTGTATTTTTGATGGAAAGTATGCATTCCTTCAGAGTACAACTTCAGTTGCATTCTGTCATACATATTTCATGCTCCCTTTTTCTCTCTCTTCCTCCTCCTATTGAAAAGCCAGAGTGTAACTCATCACACTGACCATTTAACAGCGCTCTTGTTCCTGCACCACTGCCTCTTGTAAATCCTTTTATAACATGTTTTTGCACTGATGCCCCATTACATGTAACTGGGAATGTGGTAAAACAACAGCTGACAGTGTGTTTGCCTGTACTACAGACAACTGAGGCTACAGTCACAGTGTGTCAGCTCCAAACCAAGACGGATTGGAATCAGACAATACACTGGTCAAAATGTGCTTTTTCCATAAAGGACTGATACACACACACACACACACACATTTATTTTTCAAACTGATGGAGTGTTTTGTCAATAATGTAATTAAATGAGGCAACAGTGGTGCCGGGCAACATAACAATAAAATGGACAGCGTGTGGTGACAAGAAACACAAGCTGTGCATCACGACTCCCAATTAAATTTACAGTGAAGTTTACTGAACATTTTATGGCGTTTACCTGAGTGAATGTGTGGCTGTACTTCAGTTTGACTGAGTTTAGGGGCAAGTGCTCTCACAGAAATGTTAATGAATACATTACACATTTAAAAAATATAAAAAAATTGCTTGGATAACTACAAGCAATGTTTTTGTAATGATCATCCCGTCCAGTCCGACCGTCTTTTCTCATGTATATTACATCAGTCTGATGACACGGCCGCTGCCTTTGGCTTTGTTTTAATGGGAAGATTTCACCGCAGCAGACGTCCCACATTATGACTGCTGTTGTCAGAGCGCTTGTAAACAGATGTGGTGTGGCAGTGATTTGGCAGTTCTGTCATGGAAAATAAATTTTGTCATTTTCTTCCCATTAGCATAATGCTACAATTAGCATTGATGCTGCACAAGCGGCAACATTCATCGGCAGCAGTGAAATAAAAGACAGATGGTTAGTATCTTTGGAAAAACTATGAATTCAAAGGGGAGCAGTGTTATTGCCCCCCACCTCCCACCCCTTGTTTTACCAGTGCGTCAAATTTTGATGTGACTTTGGAGGTGGGGATTCTCAGGACAGATCTAAAGTCTCTGTCAGTTAACGGGGAGCTGTAGCCAGACTTCTTGATGTCATCAAGGTTTTTTTTATATTTCAGAAGTCTATGCATTTTAATAACTAAGCCCCTGGGGCTGTATCACACAAAGAAGTCAAACATCTCAACATGTCAATATCCTTATTGTCCTGAAATCTGTGTTTTCTCTAAGAATTACAACCTGGTGTCAGTGTTGACGGGCCGGTTTAGAGAGCCTAACGTGCTGTGTTTGGCCCACGGTCCGTAGTTTGCTCCGATGTACTGGTGAGCTGTCCTGGTTGTATATTCCTACCGCCCCCCAGTGGCTGCTGGGATTAGCTCCATCTCCATTGCAGGATTAAGCAGTGGTTCAGTGTAGTTTTATGGTGGGCAGATAGCTGAGAAAACACTGTCAGAGTAGAACGACCGAGTCGTGCTGTCACTTCAAGTTAAAGGTGAAATCTCAGGAGTGTGAATCTGCCTACACACACACTCCCTCTCTCACACAATTGTTGAACTTTTTCTGCTGCTGAATCACAGCATTGAGAGACTTTTAGACTCTTGAGACGTGAGGCAGGATCAGGTCCACGACTCTGCTGTAGGAAGTCCCCAGTATTTTGGACAAAATTAGATTTGGCTTCATATTCTCAGCTCCTAACAGTCATCATACTTGACAGCCTCGTGTTAGTTTTACCTATGAATAAGTCGATGAAGGACGTTTCAAAATACTGAGGATCCGTGCACTTGAGTCGACCTTCACCAGCGTCCTCCTAGATATAACTATTGTCTTGGTGATTCGTACACGTTTTATTTTAAAGTCTGTTGAAATGATGAGAGTGTGGATGTGACACCATCTCTGTCACTGCTACACCACGAGTTCCTTTCTCCTCCAGCAGCTCGTCTCACAGTGAGACCTTGTATAACCTGCTGCTGCTGCAGTCTCTCCTGACGTGTGTGTGTTGAACTGTAAAGAAACAGCTCCCAAACGGTTTCCTCTACTGTAGCCAACACAACTGTCTGTCTGTCTGTCTGTCTTTCCATCACTTTGGCTTCGTCTCGTGTCATTTTGACTTTTCCTTTCTGTAAATCTTTTTTCTTGTGCAAAGTCATTAAATTAACTGTCCATGAACAGGATGCTGTGCAAACACACTGTTAAATGCCCATGGTATCAATTAACATTTGCTGTGTGATGGAGCATGTGACCCATGTTCTCCAGCTCCTCTATTTTCACCACCCATTCTTATGTGTCTCTAATTTTGTGGCTGGTTTTCAAATCACCAATGAGCTCTTAACCTGTCACTGCACCAAAAGCCGCACTGCAGCAGCCTCCTTCTCTCCTTCTGTCTCCCTCCGGCTCCTCATCTGTCCAATATAAAATCATCATCGTCTGATTAGTTCTCCTTCTCTTGCTCCCCCTGCTGTATCTGTATTTTCTCAATTTTCACTTCCGTCTCCGTCTGCTGGTGTTCTCCGGTGACATTCCTTCCGTTCTCTCTCTCTCTCTCTCTCTCTCTCTGTCTCTCTGTCTTGCACTGCTTTTTGAGGATAGCCTAAAGAGTGTGCATCTCTCACTGTGAGTCACTGCTTCCCTCTATGTGTGTGTGAGGCAGAAGCAGAGTGGGAGGGGGGGTGTGAATAAGGTGAAGAGCATTGCGTCATCGGGGGTGTGTGGACTGGTAAGTGGGCTGAGCCGGCTTGTCAGTCAGTGACGCCATTGGAGCACGTGCATCGGTCATGGCTGTGAAGATGCTGCACGGTCGTTATCTGGCCGTAGGCACAGAGTCCTAGAAACGGCCGGAGCTCACCAAACGGACGGGGAGAGAGTGTGTGTGTGTGTGTGTGTGTGTGTGTGTGTAGGACTGTATGTACATAGATGCTGCAACTGGAGCTGTCGCTGCTGCTGGTGAATAATGCAGATAAGGGGACGGAGTTTGGACAGCAGGCAGGGAGTCAGTCAGATTAATAATGCATCCTGCTGGTTTACTGCCTGTGTATCAGTAAGTTCTTTTGGAACCTGTAGCTGTCTACTGTCTGCATTCCCTTCTTTGACTTAGTGACTCTCCGCCTACCTTACTGCCTGCCTGCCAGCCTTCCCAGCAGACTGGAGGACTGCCTGACACAGTCAGAAAATGTCTCACTACCATTTCATCAAATGCTGTAAGTATCCAATCAGCATCTCTCTGTCCGTGTGCATCTGGAGATGTGTCTGTGTGTGTGTGTGTGTGTGTGCACTTCAGCAGTGGGTCATTAACACCTACTAAATATGGAGTGTGTCATAATCCTAAAACAGAGGGATTCTAGTCATCTTTCAGCACAGCATCACAGTAAAACTTCAAATGGGTATCTGTGCATGTTCTCAGTGTGTGTGTGTGTGCGTGTGTGTGTGTAGTTAGTGGGTGTGTGAGCTTGCTGCAGCGAGCTCTGCTGCAGATGTGAGAAGTTGACCGGCGAATGCGGCAGGTGTAGCAGCAGAAGGAAAGAGAGAGAGATGGAATGGAGCCACATCCTGACGCCGACTCCATCGGGGTCTGCAGAGTGACGGGCTGACGGAGGGAGAGTCGGTGCAGTGGGAGGAGGACAGATGGGGGAGAGAAAAAAACGAGAGTAAAGAGAGACGTGATTTGAAGTCAAAAATGGAAAAGGTGTTGGTGAATGGGACGAGTGACTTCCCTGGAACGAGGCCAAATGGTGGTCGTAGGTACGAGGATCAAACTGAGGCGCAGGAGAGACACTGTCATTGACAAGTGATTGAGGGAATCGAAGTCAAGTGGAGGAATGACAGAGTGAAAGGAATGAGGGAACTGGTCGGTGATGCAGGGTGTCATAAAGCATCCCCTTGACGTCCCCTCCTCTCCCCCCTCCCACAAATCTTTGACTTGTTAATACATCCACATTCATAGTACCTGCAGAATGCAGTGTAAATTGTGTGTGTGTTTGTGTGTGTGTGTGAGGGATGTACTGTATATTTGCTTTTCTAATTTACCAGCCCCTGCTCTGCTTTAATGTTATTAGCTGGAGTCTGCATGGGATGTTTGACATTCAATCAATATCTGATCTGAACACAGAGATGGGAAAAGAAATGGAAGAAACCTCTCTCTCTCACCCCACACCCCCCTCCCTCTCTCTATCTCTCTCCCCCGTTCCTCTCTCTCCCCGTTCCTCTCCATCTCTCCTCGCTCCGATCCATTCAGCTTCCATTAAACTCCATCCTCTGTTCTTTTCCTCATTCTCATTCACATTCCATTGCTCCACTCACGTTGTTCCATCACACTGCAGGAATATCGGTGTCATGTATGTTTGATTATTCTGGGCAGGAAGGCTGTTCTACTGTGAAACACGTCAAGTCAAGTCTTTCTGCTCATTTCATTGGAGGAATGATCTCCAGTCATCAACAAATGTTCACTACTGACCATTGACAGAACTTTGTTGGACTCTTTATTAACAACATGCTACATTACCCATAAACACTCAGCTGGTCCTATTAAATCCCTATACTGATACTGCCACTGCCTACATACAGTACTACATACAGTACTACACACGTACTGCTGGGCCGTGAGTGATGCCGGCATCAAAATGCCATTTTGTGCAGCATCTGTCATGCACTCTGGCTTTATGGGTCGATGCCTGTAGCCTTGAATGTTTCTTCTAATAGATTTTGTATGTAGGCGACAGAGAGTGTGAAGGATATGACACTGTCAATGATACAAATCATTTAGTGCCACAAAGAATTTTTTTTTTCCTACCCTGAAGCTTCGACTTGTAGACAAAGTACATCGATGATTAGACTTCAGGTGGAAAGTGATCGCCTACTAATGCAGTTATTTACAAGTCTCTTAAGCACAGTGATTCTCAGTCCGTAGCATTAATATTGTAAGATGGCGCCATTTAGCAGAATGCACTTCTGTAGTAATGTGCATTGGCCGCAGCCAGACAAAAGTAGCAGTGATATATAGTATGATGAGGTTCCAGACGCAGCCTCACACAGTACTAGTTAGTACTTTTTGTTCATGTTTTTTAAAGAAGCAGCAGGAGTCAAGCTGTGAACAGCTGAGCTTCCATCAGTTTTTATCCAGTTTGTCTTATTTTAATTTCTTCAATTTCTTCCTCTTTTCAGCCTTCATCTTCAAAACTTAAAAGATGAACACCATTCTCTGAAACTGTAAAGAAAGTTCTGTTAACAGTTTGTTAAATCTCAGCCAAATCAATATGAATCAAATCATTTATTTATTATCATTGTACTGGATTCTGCCCTGAGACCTTTGTTACTCACATGCCGTCCTGATTGATGGACAGCTTTTCCTTCGTGCTGAGCTGCAGCAACTGCCAGGGAATCAGAGGAGATTATTCACAACACTGTTGTTCACTTTAAAACATGACACTAACACCATCTGCCAAGGGGTAATTGTAACCTCCCAGAATGAGGACAGCCGTCCAACTCGGCCGTCATTGTTGCAAAGTTATTGTTAAAATCCATAAACGGCAGAAAACACAAAAGTAATGACGCTGTTGTTTTGTTTATCAGCTTTGCTGAACCAGGGATTGTTAGTTGTATTGTTTGTATCTCTGTGTGCGTGTGTGTATTAAGTGTATGGGGCTCAACATGAGCTCCTAAAATAAAACCCAGCAGACACCTGAAACTGTCTGCTGCGCCTGGAACTGTATTAAATGTCCCATTTTTTTTTTCTGGAAACTTAACACAAAAGGACCTTCTTTTACATGTCTATCCAGAGCAGATGGCACTCGCCTACTGTGTGGGAGGTGTGTGTGTGTGTGTGTGTGTGTGTGTGTGTGTGGAGTGGGCAGGTGTTTGAATGAATGAGTGGATGTACAGTACATGAAAAAGGGGAAGAACAGCAGACAAAGCACAGCAGTTTGCCTGGACCGCTCTGTTTTTGTGCTCACAGACACAAACTCCAACAGTAACAACTGTATCTGCAGAGGACATTTAGGGCAAAGGCATTTTTGTTTCTCCTGCAACTTCAATGAGCACATCTTACACTACAAACACTAAAACAAAGTGAAGAAACATTAACAACTCCAGACCACAAAACACACTTTGTCTTCAGAGGTGCAGTCGAAGGAGGAGACGAAGTTTTCTCTGTCGGCTGGTATCAGCTCTGGGAACAGAGATTAAAACAACAGGAGCGTCCGCCAAAAGCTGTGTCTTTGTTAGCAGAGATAAAATATGACTCAGCACTTTTCACCAATCTCCCGTCGCCATCTATAGTTGTTAACATTGAAGACATTTTAGGAAGAAATGTATGTAAAAAGTCCAAGACCACAGTTCACTGTGACTTAACACAGTCCTTTATAAAGGCTTCATAACACTCTGGGTAGATCACAAGGTACAACTGATACAAATACTGACAATATTAAATGTTATATCTATGGTAAATTTTACTTTGACAGAAATTAATATCAAATTTCACTTGTAACAAAAGTGACTCCCAGGTGTCTGTGACTGTGCAGGTGTGATTTTCTTAAAAAAAAAAAAAAAAACCTGTTAAAAGATTGGAACTTCGTTTGTCAGTTGTAGTTTTTCAAGTACTATATTGAAATTTTTTTTTGGTGGCGCAGTTAATGTTGGGAAGGTAAACCAAGAGTTAAAAAAAAATTCAAACCATACTCACTGAAGTAGTTGTACACGTTTATATTTCTCATCTTGTGCGTGGGCGGGTAAACTTCACTGCCTACCTGTTCCACACTCCAGGGGTTCAACACTGGAAGGTGAAGCAGAGTTTAATGAGAGTCAGGAGAATTGAGTCAAACTGAACACATTGTTTCTTCTTTTGTATCAGTTCAGTGTTTATTGGATCAGTGATTCCCAACCACTGTGCTGTGGAAAATTATCCAATTTCACTTGATTGGGCTGAAAACTATTATTTATTTATTGCATATAATTTTTCTTTGCTTGTCAAAGCATGAAAGGCAGACTATTTAAATACTTTTCTGCTAGGTGGCAGCAGATGACTCTGAAAACTTTCTTCAATTCCTGCCAGTATATAAGCACTGTCTTCAACTAAATAGGCTGGAATTTCAGTCAATTATGAGGTGTCTAAACAGGCTGGAATTTCAGTCAATTATGAGGTCATTTAAACTAGAAGATTATTATATTTCATTACATGTACTTTTTGTGAGATTTTTGTTTGGTGGTGATATTTGGCATATATGTGCCATGGCTCAAAAAAGGTTTGGAAACACTGAATTAGACGAGCGGCTTTGACTCTTGGTATCCAGTACAGACACAGTCATTTCAGAATGCACATGTGCTCAGAGAACCATTGAACATGGGCACTGAAGAAGGCAGTGTTGGTGTTTTATAAAGGGAGTACTGCATCAAACAAGATAGTCAGAAGTACTGCAGTACAATTTAATCTGTCTCTCTGTCTCCAGGTTGTTTCCAGCTATGTAACGTCTTTCGTCAGAACATGGAGATAGACCAGTGTCTGCTGGACTCTCTCCCCATTGGTCAGCGGCAGCGGCTGGTCAGGAGGATGCGTTGTGACCAAGTGAGGGCCTATTACGAGCGTGAAAAGAGCCTCCAGCGTCAGCAGGGCGGCGTCAAGGTCCGAGGCCCTTCGACCAAGAAGCACCGCGTCCACTTCGACGTCAGTGATGTCATACAGGATGCCATCATTCGCCATGACGACAGAGAAGGTGAGGATAAGGCTGCGTTTGAGTCTTTTTGGTAAATGTATGCAGCTTTTGCACTCATGAACACAGATCTGAAGGAGAAAAAAAATTTGCTGTTGAGCACAAAAAGCAATTTCACAGAATCACTTCCTGTAATACTCAGCACAAAATCCTGTTTCAGTTCTGGTTGGAGGACAAAAGGTGCGCAGGGTGGCACAAACAAATGAATGTGAGAATTGGTTCCCACCAAACGTCTGGCTCCTGGACTGAACTCAGGAATTATACGTTGTTGCAGTTTTTTAAATGTGGGAGCAGGGAGTGTGACCTGCGTTGGATTGAAATCCCTTATCGTGATTGGTCGATTCAGTCAGCAGAAGATGCTGATTACAGAATTATTAAGCAGGTATTGTTAGTTTGTTCACGCTTCACTCTGTTTTATATTATTATATTATTACTTTCTAATTGTGTTTGACTGTAATGTCCCCGACTTGCTCTCTAACTGGGACGTTTTTCATGAGCCCTGGATCAGGTCCACGTGGCTGTTCTGCTGCATCGTGGGTTATCATGGCTAGAAAAAGATCAACTTCCAACACAGTTTATGTCTTTCTTGTGTACTGCTGACATAAATCCCATTCAAAGACAGAACAGCAGTCATGTGTTCAGGGATTGTGTTTTTTGGTACTCAGTAAAACAGAGTCGTTACTTAAGGGAAAAGAAGACACTAATTTACGGAGCACGGACAGGGATAATAAACATAAGTTTATGAGGCTTTTAGTGCATTATGGCTCATTACAAGACAGTAAGACACTTTGTCTACGTACAGTAGGTCTTTGTCAGGATCCATAAGATGAAGTTTGAAGAACTCTTTATTTGCAGTTTGTGAGGAAGTCTGCTCTGTTTGCAGTGTTGTTAGAATTCTGGGGGATTTCTTTAAAACCAGGTCACAACTCCCTTCTTTGCCTCGTCTACTGACTGATGACTGACTGATCCAATTATTTCAAACGTTTTCAAAAGTTTAGTTCAAACTCAAAATCAACAAAGGTGCAGTGAATAAACTCGTTAAATTGCAGAACATTTCTATTGCCAAATGCTTAATGTTTATTGTTAATTATCTTGTATCAACACCCTATGGACATTTACAAGTTTTTTTTTTTTTTTTAATGGACCCAGACTTTGGCTAAAGTTGGATGAGATTATGTCTCTGCAGACAAACAGACAAGATCAGGACGTTTTATGTCTGAGTCTGTGAACTCACATGACTCCAAATCAGATCTTTGTGCTGCCGCCCTGATATTTCTCTCTTTGTCGATGCCAATTATTTGCCAGCCATTTACCCAGCTGTCCTGCAGTATCTGTGTCGTACCAGCAGAATTTGCAGGTCACTTTGTTAATCGTCGGCTCCTCGGCTGCCAGACAGGTTCAGCCGGGGTCTGTGGTAGCAGCTGGTGTTCTATTGCAGTCGGAGCAGAACTGTGTTTGCCTGGCACCACTCTGTACCAAACCAAACCGTGGACTCCTGACTGGAAATACCACTGGAAGAAATTGTTTGCTTAACTTTTTTTGGGGGAGGTCATGGAGTAAAAAATGTGAAAAAAAGATTAAACAATTAAACAGCCATAAAAACAGAGGCCAGACAGATGACTTCAACATTTACTTGAAGTCAGTGTAATCAATACGAATCTAAAATTCTCACTGTTAAAATGTTATTTGTATTTGTCGGAGGGATTTTCAAATTGGATAAAAATGAGAAAGCAGGAACAATACTGAAGACAAAAATAGAACAAAGACCAATTATATTTAAATATTAATGAAATAAAACTGTTATAGCCAGCTTTATTGAACATGCACTGGAGGTGACATTCAGTTGAAACTGTTTGCTGACATGGCAGGTTATCAGAGATATCAGTCCCAGACACATTCACAGGATCACAGAGGATTTATTCTCTTATCAGGTGTCTTTCACAGGGAAGGCAATTAAGTGAAGTGACGATGAAGAAACACAGATAAGACACCACCATGTGGGTAAATAAATAAAAAAAAAACTGTAAAAGGACACAGCTGAAAGAGATATCAGTTTTTATCCAAAATAAACAGCATTAATCATGGCCTGGCTCTTGTTTGGACCAGGTCTTCTTATTACCTCCTTGGTGGTCTCCTATCTGCCACATGTTAACATCTGGACCCACTTGGATCCTGACATTTGGTGAAATTGCTTTTCCTTAAACAATATCTTGTTTTCATCAAGGTGAGACACCAACGAGGAGGCAGCAGCTGCTGTCCGTTGATACCAAACCTATATCACATTTATATTTGTCCTCCACTTCTACAGACCATCCATACTTGATATGATCTTTATCAGGTTTTCATTTTACTGTGATCTTGGGGGGGGGTAATCAGATTTGATGTGTTGTTGAAGTGTGTTGAATGATTTGTGTAACCAGGTGAATTTACAAGTTAATAAAAAATATAAAATGAAGAAATATATGAAAATATAAATGTTAATTTTACCCTGAGGAGCAAATATTTTAGCAAATAAGGTTTCCCAAATTTTCAAATTGTTTTTTTTTTGGAAGCTGCAAAAAGGAATGGCTCGTCATGTTTTTATGTGACATCATGGCTCTGAAACTCCTGCTCTGTGTATGTCAACCTGTGCATAGGGTCAATAAGTAGTTGGTGATGAAAGTGTAATCGTTGCATGCGTTTCTGCCACAAAAAGCACAGAGGTTTATTAGTGTGTGCTCACATGCAGCTCCAGCCTCCTGTTATTGATCAGAGCTCAGCTCCGAGCTGCAGGAGATCAAACCAGTGACTCACGGACTTTCTAATCAGTGAAAGTGAGGCAAGCTTGGCAACTGGAAAAGCTTTCTGTCCCTGGTGCTATTCAGAGGCTACGGTGTTAAACACATGAAAATAATTTAAACGTAAATGTAATATATATGCCGCGCTCAGAAGTGACGTACTGCTGTATAGAGGATATGACAATGGGCCCCTGTGAAACACACATAAGAACGAGAATATATTTATAGATACACAAGAAGTATTCCAAAGAAATATTTTATATTAATATTATATTAAATTAATATTTTATTGGTCTCCTATCAGTCAGGGGCCCTTAGAATCATCCTAACCCCCTCATATAGCATTTGAGTAGTTGTTCAGAAATCTGAGAAAGCAGCCAATAAAACTGCTGCTTTCTGCCCTTTCATATCAGACATAAATATTTTAATATTTGCCCCATGCATTTGTAGCATCATTATTAATTTCTTATTTATAAGAGACATTTTCAAATCCTTTATTTTTTCATTTGTATTTGAAGTATACATGTATACTTGAAATGAAACAGAAACATTTCACTAACGAAGTCACACATTGATGTTTTCCTGTAGCACAGTAGACTGGGATTAAAGGCGTGTCAGGCGACTGTCATGTTTTTGACAGAATGGGGCCTTTAATTCTGCGGAGGTGATACAGAAGGATGACGTCATTTCTCTGGAAAACCCCACATCCAGCGTCGGACGATATTTATGTTATTCTGCTTAAAATCATAAAACATCTCCATGATACTTGTTACTCTGGCCTTCCTTTCTAGTCAGATGAGTACTGGCGCATGTAAAGTCTGCATAATAACAGCCAAACATGCCGTGGCCCTCCTGACTTTAACACCACTTAACAAACAGATGATAGAATTTGCCACGGGGGAAATATTTAACCTCTATTTCAGTGGTGCATGCATTGAAACGGGAGCAAATGTGGTATAATTAGCTGTGTCATCTCCCCTGCTAAGCTTTAAAGGAGTTATTTGACTTTTCCAACACATACAGCTGGTCTGAGGTCAGGGAAATTCTCAGTGGGGAAACAATAGACACTTTAGCCCGGCGCGGACTCAGTCATCCTGTTGTTTGTAAGTAGAGTGCGACTAATTCTTCCCCAAGTTGACATGGTTTTAACCTTTGAACGTGCTCAAAATGAAAATAAGAATGCAAGTCCATTTTTACAGTATATATTTTTAAGTCAGTAAATGTCCAAAATGTAAACCAACATTAGTAAAAATGTTGGATGTTGTGTTTTTTAAGGAACCTTTCCATGTTGCATTGCACTTTATGTGCACTTGTTATGATATTCTGAGTCTTTAAGGATGTGAAGGATCAGAAAAAACTGCTTGGCCCGTGGTAAAATATGAGTTTGTTTTGTTCCACTGACTTGAAAATTGGTGAACAATATAAAATAGCAAACATTGCTTAGAATGTCAAATCAGGAGCTGCTCATTGTTCAATGACATGAATGTGCAGGGGACATTTGTGTATTCACCCTAAATGTATTGCAGAATACACACATTTACTGCATTAAATCACTGTACTGTATCTGTGACATATCCTTGTTTCCTTCACTCAGCCCGTCATAATATGAGACGTATGTAGTTTTAACATTTCTGTAGAGATTGTACTTTAGCCTTTTTCCATCAGAATCGAAAACAGGAAAAATGTCAACCCTCATTTTAAAAACAGGGCAGTGAGGTGAGACGCTGCTTCTCGGCCTATGACTGTTTGATAAGGTCAGAAAAGACAGACGGATTGATAACAGTGAGGGACTTGAGCTCAATCTCATCTGGGACTGCGGAGGAATGAGACTGGATGTGGAGAGAAAGTGTGTGAGATGCAGAAAATTGGCAGTCGTTCTTTGAGTGTGTATTATGGAGCTGCAGCTCAGGGATCTTATCCAATGCATACAGTAGTTTTTTTGGCATCAAGAATAACTAGAGATGCATGGAGGTTACAGTACAAAGGTAAAATCAATCTAATCCTGCATATAAATACATACTATATCAACATACAGTATATGTGTCATACTGCAAAATATACCCTCAAATACACCATAATCACCAACAAATAACTGAAGTCATGTGGTCACTGACGAAGGTTCTCTCCCATCTTTCAACTACAGACACAGCTTTTTTATTATGATCTGGGACAAAAATCAATATCAGGTCAAAGTGCATTTGGCCTGTGTGATCCTAGTCTCTGAAATGCATTAGCTTCTGAATCACTGCGTACAGACACAGTTTCAAGTATGAAATACAACCTGAAATGTGATCAGAGGTTTGTGAACTTTAAAATACTGTATCAATATAAATGTGTGTTTGTGCATCGTAGAATCTAAAAAGAGGTACTGTATGCATGTTAATGTATAAAAAAAAACACTTTTTTTCTAGAAATGTATGTGGTCGATAACTAATTCTTCCTTAATGTACACAATTAGAAGCAGTGCTTCCTGAAATGGGAGTGGATCTGTGATGGTAGGAGGGCAATGGAGCGTTACATTTTCACTTTTAAAAAGAAACTGTCTGAGTTATTGTTGCCTTATCATGTGTTCACATACGATAATGTGAAAAACCCATGACTAAAATACTGTACGTGGTCCAACAACGGCAACCTGTAAAACCTACAGTCTATTGTATTAGGGGTGTTTTTCTCCTCTCCTTTGTGAAACCTACAGTCTACTGTATTAGGGGTGTTTTTCTCCTCTCCTGTTTCCTCCCCTTGCTACCATTTTATCTGGTTGCCATAGTAACACCATATATGTCTTGAACAGCTGTTCTGTAATTTTCCACTAAGTGACAGTAGGGTTTGCCTCATTCCCACTCATTCCCCTAGCACTATATTAAGAAAATGAAGGAAAACACACTAACACACACACACACACACAGCAGCTGGCTGTTGACAAAGATGTTTTATAAAGATTAAATGACTAAAAAAAAATGCTGTACCTCTTTAATAATGACATGATTAATGTTAACATGCCTTAAATAATAATAATTGGTAGGCTATTCTGTTCTGACTTCCTATGTGACTATCAGTTGATTTTATTTTTCTGCCAGACATTTGACAATAATTTTTAAAATAATTATTAATTTATTATTAATTTATGCAATTGCAGTGCCTTGATTTCATTGAGGTTTGGTTCACAGTCATAGCCATAAATACAATAGTACTAATAATTGGCATAATAGTGTGTCCTGGTGTTTCGGTTTTTCGTCCTTGGTTTCCTCATTTTTGGTTTTCGGTTTGGGCCTCATTTTTATGTAAAAACAAAAAAAGTTTTTGCAACATTTTGGTTCATACAATGTGTCATTGTGACTGGGTTTTCGTGGTTCACTGGAGCACAAACCCTCACATGCACAGCATCAGAGTCAGACGTGCACTGATGTACCGAGGGCAGTCAGAGGACTCAGGGTTTGGACAGGGACACTCACACATGAGTGTGGGTGCTGTGTGTTCATGGTTACATTCCCCTCGCAGCAGGTGTTAACGCACTGATGTCGTTTTATTGCAGTGCTGCGTCTCCTGAAAGCGGGAGCCAATCACAACTGTCTCATCTCTTCTGGAGGATCCCTGCTCCACTTGGTGAGACTCACACACACAAACTATTGATTGTTTTATAGAACATTCCACACAGTGTTTATTTAAACATTTAAAACATTGTTTACGTATAAAAATGATTCATGTTGCACTCACACCAACAGCAACATCCACACTCGATGTTACACCATCATTATCTAAATGTACACATGCTCTACCTTTGCAGTGTGCTCGTCATGACAACGTGTTTGTGGCCGAGCTTCTGATCGAGCGAGGCCTGAATGTCAACCTGCAGGATGAAGACCTGTGGACCGCCCTGCATGTAGCATCAGCCTGTGACCATGCAGACGTCGTACTGCTGCTGCTGCTGGTGAGAAACAGAAAAGCATGGACGTGAGCTTTATTGAACTGGCTGAAGTGTAACTCCGAACCATATTCTAGCTTTATTTAGGAAGTCTGCCTTATCCATATTTGTCAGAGAAACACAATACAAATGTGGAGGTCAAGACAATTTTCATCTTGAGAAAAATAACTTTAAGTCTGTCGATTGAATAACAAATAGAGATGCCCTGAGCGAATTTGACTAAAACCCCATTTAAAACCAACCCTAAAAAACTATATTCTGTTAAACCTATTAAATGTTTGTCTCTCCAGCATTTAAAATTTCAAACCATAAACAGAAATTAACATAAACACATGCACAATATAAAAATAACAACAAAGAAATGTTATTTTTATCAAGGCTATATCCAATTATGCCACTTCCAAAAAGTGTTTTTAATATCTCACCTAGAAGTGTCATAATTCTAGTCTTCTTTGATCAAGTGGCTTCACCTTGATCCTTTATGTTCCATCTTTTTATCGTTTGTTGTTCAGTACGAGTTCCTGCTTTGCTTTCTTTCACAAGAAAAAAAAAACCAAACTGCGTGACTGCAGTTTGTAGCTTGGTGCAGTTTTTTACTGGATTTATAGTCAGGTTTGTTTGACCAGATCTGGACTGATGTTGTCTGTCCATCAGACTGACATCTGTCAGACTGTAAACTGACAGTAAACTGACACCTGGTGTTCTGGACTGTTCATAGACAAGCAGTACATCCAATAAATTGATGTTTCTGCAGTGAAGTTGTGAAAAGTACACTTTTGTTCAGTTAGGTTTGTTTTCCTAATAGATAATATAATGATAGAGAAGGAGATACTTAACGCTCCCCCTAGAGGCAGCAAACAAATCTCTCATTAACCACACATCTAGAAGTGCATTAGTGTCTGGTAAAGAAACTTTTCTTTGCATGAGTCACATGTACTTTGGAGCTAAAGAAAGCAAACATTTGTGAATAAGTTTTCCCCCAGAGCTGATTTCTTTTTAGCACACCTCCCTGAGGGCCAAATATCTACGATGACACCAAGAAAATGGCAATATTAAAACATGCAGATTTTAGAATCTGACTTTAACAACAAGAAAAAACAAAGCTGCTAAAGTCGTGTGGTTTTTGTCCATAGAAATGGTTTGTAGGTGTACAAGGTCCACAAAAATAGGACGTAGCAACGACTTAGATTAGCAATCATCTCCTACTTTATAAACATTATTCTTTTATGGGATTCTATGTATACTTTATTCTCAAAATAAATCAGTCCACTCATTTAATTATTCTGTAATTGCCTTTTCTCTCTGGAGTAAGATAAACACTAAACACACATTTTACTTCGCCGGCATAATTACTGGAGAAGATGGTTTCAAAGGGAAAACCAAGATGTGCCTTGACTACAGTGGTAAAAATAGCTCACCGTAGCAGTCGCTGTGGAAATTCCCAAATAGCAACACGCTATTCCTTTACTGCCATTCATGTAGTTCAGCTCTGGGCTTCAGCATAGACCCCAGCAGCCCCCAGTCGTTCTGCTCTCTTCTCCATCTGCTGTCTTATCAGCTCTGCAAGTAGAAGATCTTTAATTCTAAATGTACCGTGAAAGGGTTAACACACGACTGAAAATGGAACAGTAGCTTCTCTCCAAACGGCCTGAGTGACAGCCTTATCTGTGATTGGCAGTGTTGGAAATTGGACTGTTAATACCAGTCTTTCCTGTAATGTACGTCCGTTGCTCTCCCCGCTTCCCCTGCCCTTCTACTCTGTCCTTGAGTTTGTGCTTCTGGTGCTTGCACGTTTCAGACGTTTTGCTGACAGAGATGTTACCAAGCTGTTCTTGTGGGGGAAACTGAGGGTTTGATGATAAGTCTGGGTCCATTGTCTTTTCGTGTTGGAATTTGCTGCACTGTTAATTCTCTTATCTCCTGCCTTCAAGCAGTAGAAGAGGCAAAAAGTTTGGTTTTTATCTGTTATTTTCAAAACCAGTCTCTTCTGAAAAAATAAAAAAAAATAAAATGATAACTTATACTTTTGCACGGTACTAATATTATAGATAGATTTTCACACATTTCATAATAATAATACAAATACATTTTGTCCCACCATCGGGGGTGAGTCAGGGTGAGTCAACCTACACGGGCTGCCACAGGAGGCGCCATTAAGTATGTGGTTCCTCTAAGGCTGGAACCCAGGAGCTTTGAACAAATTTAGGGAAAAATATCTTTTCTCTCTTTAATGATCATAATAATTTATCAGTGCAAAGATGTCACCCATGGAGAAATGAATTCTCTTCTAAAATACAGCTTTTTAGATTTTAGATTTTAAAAACCCACTGAACCTCCAATTGGCCCAGTTTCTATGGCTGTGAGTGACAAGTTTAAAATTTCTCAAATATCAGTCCTTTGAAGTCAAACCCGAGCCTCTGGCTGCTCCATGCTGGAGACTCACATCAGTGGTACACACTGTAGATACTGCGGGTGTTCAAACACCATTGGAAGTTTCCTACTATCGCAGACTTGTACCACAAAACAGCAGGAAAGACTTGGTGTGACACGGAAATGGTTTCATTTTCGTTTAAAACCAGAAAAAGCATTTTTCCGACATGCTGTGGTTGTAGTGGTGCAGTCTGAGTGCCTTACACTGAGCAGAGGTAACGGTCTGTGTCAGTTTGGACTGAAGTCTTATTGCTTTGTCCTAAAACACTTACCTTGCTATAAATTAGGGCTATCAAACAATTAATTTTTTTCATCAGATTAATCATGACGGTAATTAATCCAGATAAGTCAACCTTCCAAGGTATTAAAAAAATGTATTCCTCATGTGTGTCCTATGGGACTGGGGACAAACTGCAGCTCATTTGTTTCTGTCATAGCTTATCATGAGACCACAGCCTGTATTTGTGTCCTGGTCTCTGTGTCCACGGCTTTCACCTGATATTAGGAGCATGAAACATTTGTTTCCTCAAAGTAAAGCAACAATAACCAGTGCCATATTTACTGAAGCTTTAAAAGCAACACTTCCAGCTGTAGTCAAAATGCATGGTAATGCTTGGTACTAAAGTCCAACGACCACTGTATATGAGAGACTAAAGTCCAACGACCACTGTATATGAAGCTAAATTTGATGGGTTTTTTTTAATGTTTTTCTTTGAAATTTTACCATAATAAAAATTCTGTTCTTTCGATTAGTCACAAACAGAAACAGGTGTGAAATACATTTATTCACCTGCAGGTTTTTGTTTTCTCAATTCCTGGAAGGCACAGCCAGTTTTGGTCATATTGAGTAATGTTGATTCATCACCATTAATCATGATTAATCATGATCACAATGAATTGTATTTAGGTAGGCAGTGATAGTTGGATTTAATAGTCACTTGACCACTGGACTCCTCCACACAGACTCCTCTATTGACCTTAGTAATGAATGGTCTGGGTCAGCAGACACCTTTAGGACCTCACACTTACTGTACAGTTATACTGTCTTCACAGACAGAAAAGCCTACGCTTGAATGGAAAAGCCTAGAAAAAGCCTATGTCTGTGTATGGTGGAGAAAGGTCAGCGTGATAAAGAATAATCCAATCATTGTATGCGTTGAATACCTGTTAGTGTGTATGCTGTTGTATGGTCCTGGTTTAATTGAAGCGAGAACTGTCCTAAATATGGTGATAAGGCTTGAGTGTGTGTGCTCATAAATATTCCCATGAATAATCACAAAGCAGCAGCTGTAAGTCATTAATTGATTCTCTTTGTTCACCCTCAGCAAACCCTCCTCAGTGAGTACAACACTGCTGGATGACACACAATGGAAATGCAAACAGATTTGCCGATACATCAATTTGAGAGCATTAGCTTATTAGCTTAGCACAGGCTAATTATATCGTCATTCTTCAAACATCTGCAAAAATATATTTCAGAATTAAAAAAGCATGGTAAGTTGTCAGTTTTAGTGGTGAGTGAATGGGGTTTGGAGGCCAGTGTCCTCACAGTGCTTTTCTGCTACTGTATGAGCTGGCTCTCTGTCTCTACTGACATTTTAACCCATTTTCTCCCCATTTTCCTCCCTGCTATCTCTGCTATCCCGCTCTCTCAGCCTGGGGATGAAGCCATAAATCTTTTTTGCTGCACTGCATTTAGGTCATTAGAATTCTATTAGCTGTAAATATTCAATAAGGACACTCACTGAGAGTCCTCTGTCTCTGCCATCAGACCTGGTCTGGCTGTAATCTTTACACTGGCCTGTCCTTTATGGTTTGGTTAAACACTGACAAGTTATTTATTACAGAACGCTGGCAGTAATCATTCTGATAAATAGAGGGCATTTAAATGATATATAAGTGGATGATAAGAATAAGTGGCATTACAGAAAAATATGGTCAATACATATTCAGATATTTAACGTTTTAATTTACATGCTATTTTGTTTGCATCTTTAATTGCAACAACATAAAAGACCTGAGCAGTCTTTTCTAGTACCCCATCAATACAGCTGATGCTGTGAGGTTCATTTTAGTTGTTGCTTTTCCAGTGGTGCAGACATCATCATTTTAAGATGACATTTTTTTACATGTTTAAACTTGGTTTCTTCCAAAAATATCCAGCACTTCCTGGTTACTCTCTGACTGAGAGTTTTGAATGGCATCATCCTGTTTTTATATACTGCCCATCACCAAGTATTCAGGAGAAACTCCTCAGAGAAAATAAGTTATTATGCATCACAACATGAGTCATTAATAAACTGCTGCCTCCGTCAATGACTTCAAATGTTCACTTCACATAACATTCAGCAAAGTAACCAAAAAGATGAAGCTGTACATACTGTACTAAGTACTTCCTGTATTTCTGTTTTTATATTTTGTCTATGAATTTACTAAGGAACTCTAGTAGAGTTTAGAAAAAGAAAAGCCCATCATTCAAAACCATTCTGTGATCAGTGACTGTGCTGAAGCCACAGTCAGTCATAAGGCAAAGGTCCAGGTTGTTTAATTCTGCTATTATACAATCCTGCTGTGTTAGGTTTTTAAGTGAACTCCTTGTGTCATTGTGACACAGCTCACCACTGCACACAACCAAATGTGACCTCTGCATTTAACCCATCACCAAAGTGAACAGTGGGCAGCTTTAAGGGGAGCAGTGTGTGGGGCCGGTGCCATGCTCAGAGCACCTCAGTGGTGACTTGGCAGCTGGTGGACTCGAACCACTGGACAGCGCCACCACTGCATGTGTTATAGTCCTTGTTTAGTAAATGCACATTCATCTTGTCCCATGACCACCACCCCCCTCCCCCGTTGATCCCAGGTAACAGTAACCCCCATCCTTGCTCCTCACTGCACCCCCAGGCAGTTTAATTAGATTTTTTTTTTCTTTAAATGGAGGCATTGTCTCTCTGGCTCTGCCTCTGGAAAAGCGAGATAATTGTCAGCACTTCATCATCGATTCAGGTCTGATGAATAGAACTGGCTAAAAACACTCTTCATTTCTTCTTGTGCGTCTGACAGAACGGAGTGAACGTCATGCTTCAGGACGTCAATGGCAACATCCCACTGGACTACACCTCCGAGGGAACAGAGAGCAACTACGTCCTACGCAAATACCTGGAGGAAAATGGTAAAAGCTCCAGACCCAAGTTCTTGAATCTTCTATTATTTTGCTTTAATGACAGTTTTTTTTTAATGTGGAACGTCCTGTGATCCAACTCATTTTATTTTGAGCTTGAGGCTATATTGCATATTTTAGTCCTTTACTCAGGCATTTGTTGTTTTTTACATTGGGTTTAATAGAAGTGTTTTATACATATAATTATATATCTATATATACGTATATGTTACACTGTATATATATATATTTATGTTTATGTAAGTGCTTGTGAGTGGGTGGGTCTATGTGTAAAACAATTTCATAATTTATAAATATTTTATTTCTGAATAAATAGCATCCATTAACGTCTGATGAATAGGAATACAGAAATCGTCCACAGTTGAACAGGAAATATATGTCTTATACATGCAATACACCCACAGATATATTGATGGTGGATTACGAATGAGCCACTTGTCTCCCACACAGCAACATGGGAGCTGAGAAATAACTTGTCAAAAATCTAGGAGGACAAGCAGTGACAGTAACAGGTATCGCTCACTGACTGACAGGGGCTGACAGGAGCGTATGTGTCAATAATGGGGGTCTCCCACTATCCATCAGACTCTGACCACATTGAAAGAAATTGTAAAACAAACAATGTACTCTGAGTAACCAATTAAAGGTGGAATTATTATCATTTTTTAAGACTTTTTTTTTTGCTTCACTTAAACAAGCCCCTGCTGTAATTTCCATCCTTTACCCCTGATACTAGTCCACACATGCTGGGCTCTGCCTCTGTTGCTATAGCAACTTAGTTGCATCGCCTTCTTTCTAGTTCAATTTATGTGGCTATGGAAAAAACGGGTGGGGTGGACAGCCAATATTTCCTACCCTTATACATTAAAATGATTATATATACAGTATATACTGTAAATATATATATATCATTATGCCTACAAGCTTTGAGGCAATTTTGTGTTTGCTTAGATAAATTGATTAATTGATGAGACCAATGTATTTGTAAACATCCTATTAGTTAATGCCTCAGGTCTTGATGTTGATTCATTGATTAATTGACAGCCATGTGTGGCTATTACAGCAACTACAGTCACTGCACAAATGTGAGGTGGAGCAGTGTGGGGCATTGAAATAGGATCAATCTTTAGTGCTCTACTTCTGTTTTGGCCAAGGCTGTTAGCAGCAGTGGTGGTTCTGGGAAGATGTCCCTGTCCTTGGAACTGAAGGTGAATGTGTTGTCAGATGATAGGGTTAACATCTTTCATCTCATCACTTGGTTTTGAAATTATAGTAAAGATTGTTTTATGGTTTTGTGTTCCTGGTGTTGCATTCATAGTTAGCAGCAGGATCTCATGATGTGTAATGTTGCATTCATAGTCAGCAGCAGTTAGCAGCAGGATCTCATGATGTGTAGCCGGAACGACAGATGGGTTCAAATTTAGGGAACATGGTTACAGTGGGAGACCCCTTCTTGTGTTAAATGTAAATTGATACAAACCAAGTCTAGAAGTTACTATACTACTAACAGTTAACATTTTCTTGATGTCCGTACTGTATTTTTGTTTTGGTGGAACATGATGATTGACTTGCTGTACTGTTTTTATTTATTTTAATGTGACATTTCTCCTTGTCTGTCCAATCATGAATCACATCTACAAAACTGAAATCATTGTTTACATGAAATAAATTGTGACCACAGTATTGACATCAGATTGACATCTCATACAGTGGGACAACAGACTCAGTGAAGACCTGTACAGAACGTAGCCTCTGATTGTACCATTCACTGTGTGTTTTTTTTTCATAGGTGTCGACGTATCATCTCTACATACTATGAAGATGCAGAGAGCCAACACGATGTTGTCTGATGTCAGGCAGCTTGTAGCCTCAGGTGTGAGCCTGAGTCAGTCCAACGATGATGGGGTCACTCTGGTAAGTCAGGTCTCATGTGTTTGTGTAGGCCTCGACCTTTAACCCCCTCCCCAGCCCCCCCTTTCTATTCTGTCAATAGTTTATCCTCAGGACAAGCAAACCTTTACTATGACCTTTACTCCATTCAGCTCCACATAGCATGTGCCAGTGGTTACAGAGAAGTGGTGTCCCTGCTGCTGGAGAGTGGAGTGGACCCTCAAGCTGCTGACCACAACTTTTGGACCCCACTTCATCTGGCTGCCAAATACGGACAGGTGAGTCATAGGTAGGACAGGTATGAATATTAGAATGTTTGAAATGGTGTTAATGAGGTAAAAATGTCTCTGTGCCCAGCACTGATCTAACCTCATTCCAATCACTATTTAAATAATGAGGAGATGATTGATGCGTTGTTCCTCAGGGCTGGAATGCCTCCAGTTATTCTGCACACACTGTGATAAACCAGTAATTCCTGGCCTAATGATCGGGGTTCGTCAAACCTCAGCACCACAGATTGGTTCCTTAAAGCTTTTTGGATGAGACTTTTAATGGTCTCTCACTGAGGGGAGGAGATTGATTTGGGATTGATTTGATTGGTGGTTTGGGATTGGACCAAGTATAAAGTTGAAAGGAAGTTATCGTTGTGGGATGTTGCTGACTCAACTGGATTTCTAATCACACTTCTGCATTATTCACTTCTTCCTTGCAGGAGGAATTAATGTGCAAGATATTCATGAACTCATCACTCAATTACAATGCAAGATTTGTTTTAAGAAGAGTCATTTTTACATTTGTTCTCTATTTGTTCCTGATTTTGTTTTTACTAATTATTTCACACCAATTTGTTATTTTCACTCTAGTACAAAACCATTTTGTTAGTTTTTTGTTTCAGTGACGGTAAATCACACATTCAGACAGCACTCCACTCCAACTTCCCTGTGATTTCTTGTTCTTCAGACTGTGAATATGCAATTAGTCTGTGTGCCTGTGTGGGTGTGTTTCTTTTCTTTTTTTTAATATGTGAGTGCATCTGACTGACGAGTGGCAGTCTGGAGGACGGAAAATCAATCTGGTTTTCCCCCGGAGCGCTAAATCACCGCAGTTATCGACTCAGTACTGGTGCCAGGCCCTTGGCTCCTGCATACCAACCACTCCAAAGGGCCTAACAGTCACTTCCTGGCACCATCCCATTCTAAGTGGTCTGACAACAGAATGTCAGTAACACAGGATTTATTTGTTCCTGATGTGCACATGTATATGCAGCCAAATAGTTCAGTGGAACTCGCTAATCAGGAGATTTTGCTGATACGATGAAGAAGCTGCCGTCACAAACTGACACATTAAACCTGGAGAACTCTCCCTGCAGTGCAGCGCACACACTGCACTGACCCTTTAAGAAGATGTACGACCCCATTACTGAAGCTAATTAAGCTTCTCTCTCTGGGTTGTGGGATTAGTTAAACCCCAGCTCTTGGCTTCCCTCATTTAAATGATTAGGAATTAGGTTAAACGTTCCCCAACCCGACCGTCCCAGTCATCAGCAAACCCACACATCTTCAACTCTTCAACTTCAATACATAGAAAAAAAAATTAAATAGCCAGCTTTGTTGGACTACACACAAATGATAATATTGCTGCAGAAATAACATTATTACAGCCATGGCAGTTTAAAAAGAAATGTTAAATTTGATGCATTGATGAAATTGTGAGTCTTTGCAACCCACGCAGGCTGCCACAGGAACGTCCAGTAGGTATGTGGTTCCTCTGGGGTTCAAACCCTGGACCTTCTGCATGTAAGGCAGATGTGTGAGGTAGGCAAAGTATTATACAGTAGGAGTAAAAAATACTGCAGACAATTAAACAGAATGTTAGTTGTCACCATTTTATTTCTTCCAACACAGACCTGATCCTACCAAACAGAGTCTAATCATTAATGCATATTTCCAACGATAGTTTATAATTTCAGATCTCTTTGGTTTGGTGACCTGTGTGACCGTTTCCTGATCTCACTGACACACGCTCGTTCTTTCAGTATTAATAGCATGTGAGTGCAGCTGACGGGGGTTTGTGGTCAGAAAAGATGCTGTGGATGCATAACTGACCACCTGCCAGCAGGGGTCAACCAGTTTGCTGAATGGGTTGAGATTTCAACAGAGTCACGCCCGCCTTCTCACTTTACCAGGAACTAGTGGAGAGAATCTTTTAGACATGTCAGGACGTCACAGGCACTCGTGACAAAGTCAATCATCCCAGAACACATTATCACATAAGTGCACTTCATCTGCGGGGGCAAAATGTATTGGTGGGAAAGATGAAGCAAGAAAAGCTCAAAGATAAAGGAGAGGAATGAAAGAGAGGACGGTGAGAGGAACACAGAAAAAAACCAAGACACATCACACTCTATAAAAATGAGTCTGTTTGACATATGCGGTTTCTTTCGGTCCGTGGCAGTCGACAGAGGATGAGCCAATTACTTGGCTCTTCTCTGTGGAGCGCCTCTGTCTGGAGGGAACAATAACAGGCTGTCTTCTCTGACACACACTGTGTGTCATCTCACAGGTGGTTTCCAGTTAGGTTCCAGGTCAGTCCATCCAACATTTACATACATCATTTTTACACCTGTGCTTGTGCACAAGGTGTAATCATTTGTTCCCCTTAATGCAGAAAGGGCTGGCGCTTGAAGATCTATTTTTAAATAGTAAATTTCCATTAAATAAGACAAAGCAATCATTATTTTACAAAATCAACCGTTTTTACGCTTCCATATCATCTATTCAACATGTCCATTCATGTCCCACAGTGTCAGTTCCTTCTATTAAAGAGTTTGCAGAAATTTAGTTTATTGCACTTGACAAAAACATCAAATGTAGACATTATAGATCTAAGTCTGCTGTTTGGAAACAATATGGTTTTCAGTTCAACTACAGTAGCAGTGGAGAATGGAAATTAAATCGAACAAAGAAAATATGTCACTATTGTTAAGTCAAACTCAACTGTATCATCCCACTATGGTTCACCAAAAAAAAAAAAAAGGTGAAAAGAAATGATCAGCTGTGCACAGTTGGCCAGTGTCTGAGCAGCAAACAGGCTGGGCTTGATATAAGTACGATTTTATATAGTTGAAGTTGAAAACTTTTGTAAACAGCATGTGTGTAACAGTAAAGTAATATAATAAATCTGTCCCTGCTGGTCAGAACAGGTTAACACACAGTGCTGTTGTCATGTCTTACAGACCAGCATCGTCAGCCAGCTCCTGCGCCACGCTGCAAATCCAACTCTGTTGAACTGCAACCAAGAAAAGCCTTCAGGTAACAATCACACATCCACACAAACAGACACACAAGTGACGCAGCTGAAATAAGCATCAAGCAGGGTGTAATGAAGGAGACAAAAATGAAAATGGATTTTCATTTTGAGCTGAACGGTGTGTGGATTCTGGATTCTACATTACCTGTTTCTGATGAGTTCTTCACTGCAGTGATTCTTGGACAGGAAACTCATTTCTTAATGAAACGCTTTCCTTTTTTCACGCTTGACTACATGTGGATTTTGTCAGTAATTATAAGGAAGTGGTCGCTTACATTTGCTGATGAAGCGAAGGTAAAATATCATCTTTAGGGCATGTATTGTACAAGGGAGAGTCAAAAACAGGCGAAAACGGGCTTCTGAAATGTAAATTAAATAGGTGATTAAATATTTCTACTTAAAAAGAACAAACTTTAATAGAAAAGAAACTAAATCACTAATTTATAAATGTATCCAAACATCTAGATTCAATGGATGATTTAATTGAGTAACACTGATTTTAAACTAAATCACTAATATATAAATGTATCCAAACATCTAGATTCAACCACAGAATTATTTGTGTGAAGTGATAAGGCTCCCTGGTTAAGGCACCGTTTGCCAATCCTGCTTCATCGCACAACGTTTCACTTCCTTTAACAAATGGCTTTGCGTCCAAGTTGCATTTTATTGCCACTTACTGCATTTATTTCCCTCTAGTAAATATTTACAACGGTTGTTTGCAGTAAAGGTTAAAGGTAGATCCAGGCAGACTGTAGCCTCACAGCAGCAAATACACACAAACACACAACCAAAATTCACAATGTTTCCATAATATACACAACTTTGACATTTTCATATTATCTTATGTATTCATGGCAGTTGTCAGATGTGTATGTATAGACTGAGGTGCTGTGTCTGTACTGCACTAAAAGCCTCTATTTGCTCCAGGCTGCTGCTTAGGTCAATGTAACTGTGAGAGAGTGACGGATTTGTCACAGAGGGGCATCCACCCAGATTATCATAGCTGAGTGTAACCACTTACTTCGACTGCCTCACTTCATCCGTGATCAATAGTTCCATCCAGCGTATAGACAAGACATGTCCTCAGAGACTGACACCCCCCTCTCCCTCCCACCAGGAGCCACGAAGCCCTCCCTCTCCGGCAACATGATGAAACACAGGCAGAATGAGAAATAGGGGTCTTGGGGGTTGTCAGTCACTCAGAAATAAAAAGACAGGATAAAGCCATCCTCCTCCCTTGTGTCCTGTTAGGCCTCATTACAGACAGGGTGGATCTTAACTCCCTCCTTTCTTTTTTTTACTAAAGTGCAGATGGATTGAACTGGTGTCAGGCTTACTTTCGGCCTCAGCGCTGGTTCGTTCACACACATTGACAAGGCAAAAAAAAAAAGAGTGGGGCAGAAAGTTTCTCAAAGAGATAAAAATACTTCTCTGCCCTTAATTTACTGAGACATTCTCTGTGTTGTTCACACAGTAGAGAAGTGGTTTGTGCTCTTGCCTTACAGCTGGAACATCAACAGTTTGATCCATGTTGTTAGATAATGGTCTTCCTGGTTCCCCCCACTGTCCAGAAACATCAGGTTACGTTTATTTTCCTTATTTTCCTTTGATGGGTTGAGAAGACACAGACAAAAACATTTGTGGTTCTCAAAATAGGGAGCTAGTCCCCCAAAGGGACACATGATTATTCCAATGGGGTCCATTGCAAACCAAAGTAGTTGCGAATTACAATGAGTATGTAAGGGTATTGCCCAGAAAGTTCTGTGTTAGATACCAAACAGTTGCACAGATTAGTATCCTTAGTTATAGGAATAATGGACTTTAAGGAATTAAAGTGTTAAAAGCTGTTTAGACAGGTGAATGTTTGAGACGATCTATGGAAATGTCTTCTTTTTACACCTTAATATTCACACCTTTCTAAATATCATAGTAAATAAACCTTTGCTTCCATGTAAGTATTGTACTGAAAACAAATTCACCTCAGTCACACCTTTAGTGCTAATAGACGTCTCTCCACTGACTCACCCGTCCTCCGTGTCCTCACCAGATATCGCAGCTTCAGAGCCCATAGCTGATATGCTTCTGAAAGCTGAGGAGAGCTGGACGCAGAGACTGAAAGACCCTTCAACTCCCCTGCCCTCCACAGACCAACGCTATGACAGTGGATCACATGACCTCACCATGCCTGTGAAACACTTGTGGGTTCAAAGCTTTTTATATAATTATAACTGAAATGTGATTTTAAAAAGGGGAGACAACAATGGCAGTTTCTTCATCCAGTGAGTTCTAATTTTTTGACCAACTCTCTCGCGTTTTCTCTTAAAGGAACCCCTTGGGTATTTCCATCTCTAAGCGGGATAGTCTGCTTGAGAAGTGTGCCATGTTCAAAGATGCTGGAGGAACACTGGCAAGACATTCCTCCCAGAACAACTTGCTAGACGGTGCCTTCAGCTCAGGAACCGGCAAACTGGAACAGGTACCGACTGCAGAGAACTTTAAAAATATACTGTCACTATACTGCACGCTGTTCAATCATTGCCTTTGGTGAAGTAAAAGATATTTCTCTGCCTTTTCCCTCAGGTGAAGCTGATGCCTCCGGCGCCTAATGATGACTTGGCTTCACTGAGTGAGCTGACTGACAGTAGTCTACTGTATGAGATGCAGAAGCGCTTTGGCAATGACCAGATCTATGTAAGAAGTCTGTTCGACATATACAAAAGTTATAACCCACATTATTTATATATATATATGGTCTTTTATTCATCCCACAATGGGAACATTTTGTGTGAGTCTTTGCAACCAACACTCGCTGCTACAGGAGGCACCATTAAGGATGTGGTTCCTGTGGGGCTCGTACCGAGGACCTTCAGCATTTAAGACAGATGTGATAACAGCTACACTAGGGATATGTGGTTCCTCTGGGAATCAAACCCAGCATTCTCTATTGTCAGGCTGCAGGGCAGTCTTGCTAACCTCTACACTTTTCTTCTGATTCTTAGAGTTCCTGATCAAACAGGTGAAAATTACAAAACCAATATAATTAACATTTCAAAAGATTTTACAGATAAATCAATACCACTATTCAAGATCCCCCCGTCTTTTTGTTGAAACTGTGGTCTGACCCATGATTCTCCACTGGGATTGAACCCACTGGATCCAGATCAATGCAGAACTGTACAGTGCTCACTTTATCTGGCAAGATCTTGTAATAGTCTGTCATTATGGAAAGCCAGATGGGTTCTTCCACAGCAGGGGATGCACACATGAGAGGATGACAAAAGAAGATGGAGGATGAGGAAAAGAGAAATGATTTCAGTTTAACGTGACGGAGGCTGGAAAATAGTGTAAAGCGCTTGTACTATAGAAGAAGTGGAAAAAAAGGAAGAGGAGTTCCTGCAGCTACAGTTTAGACGGGGGATATAACAGGTTAGAAATATGGGTTCAAATACAGTGTTACCTACTGTAATATTTTCCTACTTTCCTACTTTCCTACTAATTTAGATCGGAGTAAAATTGAGGCACCCTTAAGTTTCAGGGTTGTCTTGACGAACTCATCGTAAAAATGATATAATTCTTTCATGTTGTAGTGGTTATTTTAGTCATTTTTTTTAAAAGAAAAAAAACTATTGAACACTTACTCAAAGTCAGTCTAATTCTGATGTTAAAAAGTGATAAAATGTTGATTGACTCACAGGCTTCAGCATCAGCATGAAATATAAAAAAGAGTTTATTCTTTAACATACACAGAATGGTTGGGAGGGTGGGAGAATCCCCCTCTGGTTGTTAACACCTTGTATGTATTAACCTTCAGCCTGGGCCTGAGGACACAGCAGCCAGTTACAGACTGTTAGTGAAGCCTGCACTCTTCCCACGGGACCGTGTTTGTTTTCAAGCCGCCTCCGGTGCGATCGCATAAAAATATAAAATCTGTGGTGTGATGTGATGTAGTGAAAGACTGATTCACTGATTATCACTGCTTTTACAAGGATTTCTGTGCTTTGTTGTAGACTTACATCGGACACATCCTCCTGCTGGTCAACCCGAATAAAGAGCTGCCCATCTATTCCACATTGGTGAGCATACCTTTAAATGACATTCACCTGACATGGCCTGGTGTGAGGTGACATCCATGTACACTTAAAGGACAGATGTATGGGAACTACATTCAAAAACACAGCATAAAGAAGTCAGATATAAACAGCAAAAGTGGACCATGTGGCTGATAAATAATGCAGTCGTCCTGTCATTGATACATAACATAAGGCTGACTCTGCATCACCCAGGAAGAAGATGGAGCTAAATTAGGCTCACACACAAATACACATTAGCACATACTCAGGTAGACTTTATATCCTCACTAGATGAAAAAAAATCAATCCTTAAAAGTGCTTTTATTGTAGTGAAAAGCATCATATTTAACATTTCCAACAGCAGGTGTGGGCTGAGTGGAGCTGCTGTGGTTGTTAGGATGTAATGATTTATCTGTAAATAAATCGTGAGGCTCCTGTTTCTCTGAGTCATCACTCACTTTGAAACAGATAAATTATTGCTATTTAGGGTTTTGAAATGCAAAGAAGTGTTGAATAAAGGAGGACATGTCTTCTACTGTGGTGACATATTGTTTCAATGCGGCTGCCGTCCTGCCTGTGTCTAAAGTCTCTCCAGGCATCGACTGTATATCCTACTGTGAGAGAGGGTGTGTGGACAGTTGGGGAGGGACCAGTGTAACAGGCACATATGTCACAACATGTGTGATCCGCTGGCTAGCTGTCACCCCCTCTGGTGTGGACGTCCATGTCCCTCGTCCTTTTGTTCCTCTTTTCTGCAGCCATAAGCAGAAATCTGTTGCCGTGACCAGTGATCTACAGCGTGTGCTAACAAAACAATTCCAGTGTATTCTAAATATATCACCGCCCCAAAATACTTTGTGGACAGTAAGCAATTTTCAACAGCGCATTTGTGATCATTTAACCTCAATTTAAGAAGTTGACATGTGCTGTATAATTCTGTCCAAATGTGGACAGGTCTTTACAGAACACTAAGTATTATAAATGTAGCTGAAACTGTGAACTCACATTTTTACATCTCATCATTTCGAAAATAAAAAATAGCCTCGAGAACAAGGGACAAGTTGGGAAGTGGTCTGGTCCAAAGTCTGATATATTTCAATCTACCACTGCTTGAGTGACATGTTTGTCAATGTCCTCTTAGATGTCTTTGTCCCCTAATGGCATGTTTACAATAGACTTCAAACCACCATGTAACAGTACACACCACCTCACTCTTGGTGTTGTGCTGTAACTCAATCCTGTGTTTTGCCCCAGCCGACTATCGGAGCCACGTTACATAGGGGTGTAGTTGTTTGTCCTCCTGGACGGTGTCTATAACTCTTTTCTCCTTTCTCTCTCCCTCTCTCTGTACAACTTTCTCTCTCTCGTTCTCCTTTTCCTTTCCTGCTCAGGTGAGTCAGTTGTACCTGAGCTCCACCGGTCGCCTCTGCTCCTCCCTGCCTCCTCACATCTTCTCCTCGGCGGAGAGAGCTTACCACATGATGCTGCAGGAACGAAGGCCACAGTGTTTCATCCTCAGGTAGCTTGTCTACAACACTGACCTCTGGAACTCCGTGTTGCTGACTCCAGCTGGCCACCTCATCTGTCCACACCACCCTGCCACGCAGCTGTTAAACACCCTCAGAGAGATTAATAACTCTCACCCTGAGCCGGGGACCGGGTCTCTGCGGCTCGCACTCACAGATGCAGGTTTGCCGGCAGCATAACAGCCTTTTTTGCTCTCTGTCCTCGACTGGACGGACACAGCTCCCCGAGAGCAATTAAATGGTGTTCCGGCTCTCCAGAGACGTTCCTGCTGCGTTGTAACCAATCTGGCGGAGAGTTAATGTGGTGGGGTTATAGGCCATCCATCTCACTCAACGCACACAGGCACACACAAACATGCAGAGCATGCAGGGACATTGTGTTGTGCATTTGTACACACATACAGGTCCATTTCCTTTTTATCACCCTTACATGTCTTCACGCATGTTGACTGAAAACACGTACACATTTACAGTTGGTCAGCAGCAACGACCCCCAGAGGAAAAAAAAATCCCCTTGAAAAAGGAATAAAACCTGGTAAATGAACTAATAATCCACCTGTAGTACTGGAGAAAATAAACATGGAAACAATCGTACTTACAGGTAAACTGTGGTCATTAGTTCAGACCACTGACCTTCTCTGCTGACCATCTGCTCCGTGGCACCGTGCCTGTCCTTGTGGCAGAGCATGTACAGTTAAGGTAAAGTGTGCCAGACTCCATTTGCCAAACTATAAACAGCCCTCTGGAGTCTGGTAATCTGTGGCAATAACACTCTGCAAAGTGGCTGTAAACAGAGCAACGGTTACAATCCTAGAAAAAACAACCTGAAGATAAAATTTTATGTGATTATTTTGGCAACAGTAGAAAAGTTTTTTTCTTCTTTGTTACCTATTTTTAAGGTCATGTCCTTTAAGGCGGAATTGTTAAATGTCATTGTGTGTATTTTTTAGGCGTATGCAGATAAGCAGGTTGTTCAGTCATCTCTTGAAACTAGCTAACATCAACTACATAACTTCCCTAAATGAACTGCAGATATCTGTTCATCAGTTTCTTATTTAAATAATTACATTCACTCTGGATGGAATTCAACAAATACAAAGACTTCAAATATAAAATATTTCACTTTCATTTCAATGTTTTTTCTCTTGTTAGTGGTGAAAGTGGGTCGGGGAAGACAGTGGCCTGTAACCACATCGTGAGACACCTGACGGCTCGCTCCAGCCCAAAGAGCTTTGCACTGGATCCCAGAATGAAACATGTGAGTCTGAACCTGTCCCTGTGAGAGCAGGCTCTCTTGTTTTGTACTTGAAAGGCAGCTTTTAAGGCTTATGTGGATAAAGACGAACTGATGTAACTGCCCTTGGGTTTTAGTTTTCAGTCCTTCCCTTTTCTCTGCACCTTCAAAACTACAAACCACAAAAGATTAAAATACATTCAAATATTTTTTAGTTCTCAAATGAGAGTTAATTTATCTCCTTGTTTCTTTTGTTAAAGAATGATTGAAATTTAAGATATTGACAAGAATAGAGATGTATTTAAATTAGACAAAGTGAAATGTTGAAACAAACATGACTATCTTCCTCATTTCTTGCTTTTTTACTTCTCTTTTTTGATATTTATAATTTATAATGCCTGGTTTCTTTCATTTTTTTTTTTTGCACTCTTAATGCAGCCTTTAACATATATATGATCCTTTTCTACATGTTATGTGTTCGACTGCCTATGTCAGCCGATGAAAGAAGATAAAACAAAACTTGTATCAAAATTTAAACATGTACTACACTGTAAAAGAGTATTACATTCTTATGTGTAACAAAAGAAAGTATATCACCCTGCCCAACATTTAAATCGAAACAGAAGGTTTAAACATCTTGTATATATTTCGAAAAACGTAAATAAATATAAATAATAAAGTTTATTATAGTGTTTTAGGGTACATTTATGTGGAAAATCTTACATGCATTCACCCTGTGTAACAAACCAACGACAAACTAAAGAGGTCGAAGTCATCGTCAATCCGGGTCAAATAAATGGACAAATAATGACATCTAGTGGTTAGAAGTGGGTTTGAATTACAGAGGTCTCTAACACAACGTTGAAAGAAAGGTGAAAAAATAATGAAGCAACACAGAAGACTCACGTAACACTGAAAAGATATTGAGTTTTTTAACATTTTTTTTATTTTTTTCAACCTGTGATGTCACTTCTAGGTGAATTGTATTCTGGAGGCCTTTGGTCATGCCAAAACGCAGAAGAACAACAACTCAAGCCGCTTCATCAAGCTGTTAGCCATCACTTACTGTGATAAGAGGAGGACGCCCCTCAGTGGTAACATACGGCTACCGTCATCATATATTTCTGTGTTTATTTTAAGGAAGTATAAAAATGGTTCACAATACAATTGCATTACCTGGGTAAAATACAATAATAATGATAAAATAAGACAATACATGTACAGTAGTTCTGTTATTTTTTTATGTAATGCATAATTATCACCAGCAGGAGGCAGTAATGGCTTATTAAACTGATACCGTAGTTTATTTTCCTAACCATGTTGACCTCATTTTACCTCAGTTGAACTGATCAGGCGCAGCCTTTGCACAGTGGACACAAATACACGCTTAAAAAGAATGAAAACTAAAATCATCTCTGTTGCCCCGCCTATTATTGACCTTTGTTGATGCGTTTCTGTGTCATAAGCTCGTGTGTACACCTATATGCTGGAGAAGTCCCGTCTGGTCCAGCCTCCTCCTCAGCAGCATAACTTCAACATCTTCTACTTGATGGCTGAAGGTCTGTCACCGGAGGAGAAGAGCTTTCTTTACCTCAACAACGTCCTGGGCCACAGGTATAAAACTGTCAGTGGGGCAATAATTTACCGACATGGAAAAACTGCTGTTTGTTTTGTGTATTTCTGCTCCAAAGGTCATGTTGATATTTGGAGTATGGGCCAGCACTGGTATATGTAAATATACATTCTAATCAGTGTAAACACACACACACACACACACCAATGTTTCTGGATGTTTTTACATTCAGAATCTATGAGCAAGAATTATAGATTTTATCAGTTGGATTTATTTCTCTGACCTTTTTTTTTTAACTTATTCATTAAGATTCCTGCGTGAATAAAGTGATATAATACCTCACTGCGCGCAATTAGTATTCAGAGCCGCTGTCATTTCTTTGGCCTTCATTGAACTGGAAGTCACTTGAATTATTTATAACATTTTTTATGATGTACTGCTCCAGATGCTTCACCCTTCTGTCTCCCCGCAGGTACCTCAGTGGAGTAAATCCAGGGGAAAACCCTCCAGTAGCAAAAGCCTGTACCCAGAGCAGGGAAGGCCTCACAGCAGTCAAACAGTCCCTGCGTGCCCTGGGCTTCAACAAGCAGGTATTGATTGGCCCCGCGTGCTCCTTCTGTTGAGCCTGTTTATCTGAAGGTTATGAGGAACAGGGTGAGAGTGGTGGATATTGGACATTCTACAGCAATAAAAATATAAAAAATAATAATAATGTGATTGTCTGAATACCAGATTGCAGATTAGAAAAATAGCACTAGAACTAAAACTAAAATAGAACTAGATATTGTACAAGGAAAACATTTGAGAGAAGACAGACATCAATGGTCTCTCTCCTAGACGTGTGGATTTTTAAGAATACAATTCTTGAATTAAGACTGCAGTGTTTGTGTGATATATATATATATATATATATATATACATGTATATATATATATATATATAAACTGCAAAGTTGCTGGTCATCCAAGAACTCGCCACATGTTCTGGATGAAGACCTGCTGTTTCCAGCACATTATCAAGTTCTATTCTTAGATTTCCAGCCAGTATCTGTCAGCAGTGAGTGACCACTATCTCACCTTTTAATCCAGTAACAGTCAATACGCAGTGGGTAGGGAGGGACATACGAGTGGAGCGGTAGCTGGTGTTATTATCAGAGGACACTAGCGTCCAGTGTATAATGGAAAAAAGCAGGGGACAGGAGTCAGAGTGGGGGGAGCAGCAGTGGAAGTGGTAGACCACCCATTGGTCTCTGTCTAAGCTCTCATCAGGAGACGACTCCCAGGCCAGACCCAAAGGTCAATCGTCATTAGTGCTCCCCATCGTTCCCTTTTTTTTCTTCCTCATTCCCTTTTATTCTCCTCTTCCAAAGAAAGGGGAGGTTCCGTCTCTCCCTGTCCATGTATAGAGTGTCAGAGACAGAGACTAATGCTTGTGTTTATCTCTCAGATATCAGCTCCAATATCCTGCCATGAGAGAGTGCACACACATATTCCCACACACACACACACTCACCCAACCTCAAACATCCCCCTCTCAGAGCAGTGGGTAATGGGGTATTCCATTAAGCGTCCTCTACTCAAGGGCAGAAAGGAAGAGAGAGTGTGAATGGAGGGAAGAGAGGGTTGGTATGGGTAAAAGAAATGTTCTAAATTCTAAATGGAAGCCTGGTGTTGTGGTGTGGTCTGTGTTATGGACCACATACAATGGAAAATCCAAATATACTGTTATTAACTTTCAATCTTAAGACTGTGATAACTCCAGGAAGTCAAGTCACTTTTGATTTAGTTATCGCTCCTTGGTTTAGACAAGAATGTTTGCGTGAATATGGGTGGTAACAGTTTAACCACCGTCACACAACGATTCTGAAGAAGGCGGAAGATTCGTGCTGAATCCGTTTTCACGAGTAGTCACACAAACATTTTTGTCTAAAAAGAGAAACCAGGAACTAAATCTTCACTTTTGAATCCACCTTGTTGAACTACTGTCTTTACACGAGTCGACAAACAGTTATATTAAATCAGATTTTTGTCAAATTAATAGTTTGGTTAAAAAGAAATACCCACGTAATTTTCATACATATTGTGACATTACTGGTAAGCAGATGGCCATTGGCCCCGCCCACTCCCCACTAATCTTACGGTCTCTAACGGTGTGCCTTTAAATAACATTGATGACATTAATGTGAGTTTCGTCTGTCTGTCTGTGTCAGGAGATTGATTCAGTGTTTACGCTGCTCTCCACTGTGCTCCATATCGGGGACCTGCGTTTCACTGCGTTGACAGAAGCCGATACAGCCCTGCCGTCTGATCTGCAGCTGTTGGACAGAGGTCAGTGTCCCGGTGCCAACAGGAGGCACATTTTTTTACCCTGTGTCAGTGGTGATGATGATGATGAAGAAGAAGAAGAAGAAGAAGAGAGAATATGACATTATTTCTTCCTGTTTACCTCATCATCATAGCTCCTCCTCCATTCGTCTTCTCTTGTGTCTCTTCATCTGGTAATTTACAAGTGTTAGCTAAATAACAGTCATCCACCTGCAACCTGATTTACCTGCTTAGTATAACCTCGGAGAGCAGAAGCACTTCTCCACTCTGTGTTTTGTCCTCCTATTTGTCTATAATTATACCAGCACTGCACATGCTCCTGTGACCTCTGACCTTTTCCTTGCGGTAAACAAATGACATCAGCGCCAGAGCAGGAAGGAGCTCCTCAGTCAGGGTGATGTGATGTTTTGGTCGGTGACGTCAGCACTCAGGGTCTCTGTGCCTGTCATGTGCTCTGCTGAGAAATCACTGATGACTAAGCCTCACATATGGAATCACATATAGATCAGGACGACGTCACAGATCTGATCAGTGTTCTTCTTCTTCTTCTTCTGCGTCTCTGTCCACAGTGGCCGCGCTGCTGCAGGTGTCCTCCAGTGATTTAAGCACAGCCCTCACATCTGATGTCCAGTACTTCAAAGGTATGGACGTCCTTTGGGCCTCTGTGTTTATTCTAACATATCTTTGATCGATAATGGTTAATGAACCATGGGTTTATTGATGAGAATAGCTCACACATGTTATTTACTGTGTGTGATACTGTAGTTTGTAGCCATGTTGATTTTGATCATTTTAGGATGAAGGCTCGGGTGAGGCCTGGTATTTCTGGTCTGTAGGACTCCTTGGAAAAAATATTGTGTTGTTGGAAGCGTGTGTTTCTCCATTGTACCAAATGAAATTGTGAATGGTCTGTCGTTTATTTCATGTCGCTGGTTATGGTGAACATTTAAAGCAATACAAATTGAATACTGGCAATGCTAAGGAGACAACAACAACATTCTCATAGTGTAGCATTGAATGTAATTCAAGTATGGATGGAAACCCCCCCAATTTAAAGTAAACTGTCATAATAAGAATGTATCAGAGGTACCTTCATGTAAATATGGAATACAAATATGTCTAACCCACCGAGCTGTTCTATTTCTTGAATACAGAATCATGCACATTCAGCAGCTGTTTCTGCACAGATTTCTCCCAAATCATTCAAGGTTTGCTCAACGTATGTAGTGTCGCAAATCTAAGCAATCATTTAGATTTAGATTTTTTAAATCCAAAGTAAGACTTGAGTCAGTGAAAACAAAAAAATTAGTTCAATAAAAGTTTTAATGAGGTTTTTTTGTTGTTGCATTTTACGTCAAGTAAAATGTTTTTTTTAAAAGAATTTCAAAGAACTGCACTCTCATTTCCATGGTAGGTGATGTCATCACTCGGCGTCACACAGTTCAAATGTCAGAACAGTACAGGGACCAACTGGCCAAAGCCATCTATGGACGACTCTTCAGCTATCTGGTCAACAGTATCAACGACTATCTTCAGGGACAGGACGACAGCTTTAGGTACAACTCTCAGTTTGTCTGTGTGTGTGTGTGTGTGTGCGCGTGTGTGTGTGTTTTTCTGTCCACACAAGTGCCTAGGGCTGTTTACACTGGAATCAGTAGGAATTTTCTTTGGAAGCACAGAGCGTTGATTGCTTTCATCACAAACACGTAATGAAGCTGGTGTGTCATCAAACTGGGGCAGAGACACAGTCACGGCCTCTGAAGTGACAGAACTCATGTTGACACCCAGGTTAGTGTGGATGAAGAGGCCATAGTTTACATTACAAGTACATTATAAGTGTGAAAGCAACGTATGAATACTAAATAAGAGTGGATTCACGGTCATTGTCTATGTGGAGATGTCACACACACACACACACACACACACTTCACACATACATGTAACTCCTGTTATTTGGCATCCTGTTTCAGCAGCACTGAGAAAAAGGTTTTGTTTTTTTTTGTTGTTGTTATATTTAGGACAGTGTCCTGAATAATCATGACATCGTCATTTGTTCATAGCTAATCGTACACATAAGACTTAATTTTTCCAGTTAAAAAATTCTTTGTCTACTCAGTTGCTTCCATGTAAAAAGCAGATTAAATGTTTTACACGTAGACAAAAAAAAAAAACATGTTTGTTCTTAAATAATTATCGTGTTTGAGTGTCTGTTCTTTTAATTGTTTAATTGGTTCACTGTATTATTTCATTGTACTGTGAAGGGTATTCATGTATAATTTATCTTTCAATTTGTCTTTTAGTGACCCGTCTCTGGAAATAGGGATCTTGGACATTTTTGGATTTGAAGAATTTCAGAAGAATGGATATGAGCAGGTAAGGCAAGACTTCTTCTTCTTATTATTATTATTGTTATTATTGTTATTATTATTTATTTATTTATTTTTCATTTAATCCTCCAATAAACCTGTTGTTGTGTTCAAGCATGTATTTGTGCATTTCCCAAATGTCCGAGTGACATTTAAATCGGTCTGTCTTATAAATATCCTTTTGCATTGTATGGGGTGTGGTGCAGTAAAAACCTAATCAGATTGTTGAAATATTTGGGCTCATTTCTATTTCATTCAGTTTCATAAATGAATGATTTCAGTGTGTGTCTGCGCCTGACCGTGGAGTTATTTTTTTCTGCTGTCCTCAGAGGAAACAGAGACAAGGATTCTCTGTGCTTTAAGTGTTTATGTAACACACAAATCTGCGTGCTTTGGGGGTCATGCATCAAATGGTGGAACATTTCATCCAGTTACATTTATCATGTGTCAATGACGGGTTATGAAAATCATTTTTTGGGGATTTTTACGTAACACTAAAAAAAATAGTGCTAGTGGCCTAGAAACGAGACAAGAGGATCATTATGATGCCAGTTATCAAATACTCTTATTCAGTTATCTGGGCTACTATATTTATATTTATTATATGTAAAGCACACTTTGTTAAATTAGGTAATATATTTGGTAATTTTCTAGCTTTTGTAACATTTGCCCTGTAGACTGGCATCACATTGAGGTTGTAAATGTATCCGTGGCTCAGACTGTAACCCTGCCTCGCTGTCGATACCTCGGTGTGTGTGTGTTATTCAGCCATGCGGTGGACAGAGTACAACACGTACACTTCTATTCAGCTTTCCTGTCGTAAATCTGTCATGTTATGACTGTCAGCCCCAGTGGAAGAAGTAAAATATATATCCAACATATAAAAAATATAAAGATCAAGTTTTACTTTCATTCAGCCTTATATGGCGCAAGATGTATTTATGTTTCCCCGGGAACAATTTGGTGCTACATCCAGTGTAGTATATATAATACTAATAATAACTAATACTAAAAAAAGTACCAAAAGAAATTGTCACATTACAGGAAGTGGCGGTGCTCACATCCATACTTTTATTTCTGCTCATCTGCAGTTTGTACTGAGTTGTCTATTAATATCTGCTCAAAAACAAACACGTTCGTCACAACCCACAGAGAAGTGCGACATCAGTAGGAGTGAGTTCTCCATAAACAAACACCGTCATCTCTCACTGTAAAAGTGGCACATATGTGACAAACAAGCCCTGACATGTCGGTACACACATGTATCCACACACTCGCAGATGCACAGACAGCCACGCTTCACATACGCAGCATGATCAGGGTCATTAGTGCTGTTAATTAAAGTAGTGTTTGTCAGGGGTGCGTTGTAGCTGCTCAGCACTTTGCTAATGAGCGAAGTCATTCAACCACCTGCTGGGAGTGAGCTTTTAATGGACCAGACTAACCTGACGATGAAGAATGGGCTTGACAACTAACATCAATTGAAGAGGGGCGGGGCCACAGCCGTCTGAGCCACGAGACGACGTTCGAGAAGTGATAAATAGTTCATAACGCACTTCTTAGACGGCAACATTGTCAACATAAACATATTTTCCGGCCATGTAAACGTGACCTTAAAGCTAACAACGTCAGACAACGACAACAACAACGCTAAACACATCGTCAGCATTTTTCCACTCAGTCTGACAGGAGACACAATAGAAAATACGGTACTCTGTCTTGAGGGTTTTTTTTCTTTTCAATGTGAAACCTGAGAACCTCCTCATTCTTTGGGTAAACATATGTTGGTGTACCTGATGTGATGTGATGTGATTGGTTGACTGAACACCACCGCACATTCACGGCTCTGGACTCCTTGTACGAGGAAGTCTTTGCTTAAGCCTTTGATGAGGATGGGGTCAAGTGTGTTGTACGAGTTGTCAGGAAGTTCATATATGCCTCATTGACTTCTCTGTTGGTGCCACAGTGGGTTGTGTTTGAGGTTGTATTCATGCATTTGTTTGCTTTAAAAACAAACATTCAGCGCCGTGTCTCAGAGGAGTTTCACTGTGTGCACTGACGTGTGTGTTAACAGGTTGGTGGGTGTTTTAATCTGTGTGTGTGTTTCATGCATTCCAGCTGTGCGTGAACATGACCAATGAGCGGCTGAGGCAGTACGTCTCTGAGGTGCTATTCCAGCAGGAGCAGGCTGAGTGTCTGCAGGAGGGCATTGCCATGGAGACCCCACGCTCCCCCAGCAACCAGCCAATCATTCTGGACTTCTTTCTTCAGGTACTCTGGTTTGGACCAGTCCAGTCCAGGCTGATCTTGCATGATGTAATAGAAGCCACTGTGGAGCTTTGGCAGATGCCTCACACACAGCCACAGATTTCCTCATCACCTTAGAAATATGTTTCATTATAATGAATGGGAAAGTGGAACATATCTCCTCTACCTTACGTCAGTGTCTTGGTATGACTGACATCAAAAACATATTAGGCTTTTTCCTTTCCTACAGAAGCCACAGGGACTGCTGTGTGTGTTAGATGAAGAGTGTCAGAGTCTGCGACCTACAGAGCAGACGCTTTACAAGAGGCTGTCGGCTCAGCTGGACTCCAGTCCCACTCACGGTCTCTCTTTCACAACTAAGGACGGCAATGGAAACCCCCAACCCAAAGATCAGGGGCCAGCCTTTGTTATTAGCCACTACGCGGGACAGGTTTGTATGTGAAGTGATGTATGTAGATGTGAAACCTGTGTAAGTAAAGAAAGACCGACAACCAACACATACAGTGTTGATCAAAAGTCCCTGTAAGCCCACAAAGCCTGGGGTTTTTCACAAATGAAGTTTGTTTTTATGGATTTTGTGAATCTCTAATTTAGGGGTTTCAAACTTGAAATTTTAGTAATGTAAGTTGCTGGTCTAACAGGATTTCCATTTATCAGAACAGTCTTGTCCTGGCAGTGTTTCAACCAGAAATATTGAATATTAGCAGACTGCAACAACATTTCTACTCAATACTTTAAAAAATTACTTTTAAAATTTTAGAATGTTCTTTAATTAAACATAAAATTTGTTTTTTTATCATTATATCATTATTAATTATTTACATTCAATTAGTTAACTAATTTTTGATTCATTTTTGTTTTCACAAGCCATTGTAGTGTGGCCTAAATTGTCAGGATGATATTGTTTTAGACTTTTTGAACAAAACATTTTGTACAGACTACACCTTTAAACGAGACAGAAAAAAAAAACATTTAATAATTATTATTTTGTCAATAAACTCTTATTTTGCTGCAGACTAATTGTTTTTTACGAGTCCAATGAAATTCTCTTTTCTTCTCCAGATTTCATATGACCTCACAGGATCGCTCTCCAGAAACAAAGACCTCCTTCCACAGAATCTCCTGTTTACGATGAAGTGTAAGAACACAATTAATAACACACATATTTAATCACATTGTGGCGTCAGAGCAGCCGTAGTCACAAAGCTTCACTCTCCTGAAAAGACCAACAACACACTGAAGTGCTCTTTGTCCCAGAGTGCCTCTGTTTTCAGTGTGTGTTTCATCCCATGTGCAGCAAACAGCACCGTCTGTGTGTATATTGTCTATAGAAGGTGCCAGATGTGGGGTGTTGTGGTTTGCGCAACACAGGCTCCGTTGTGTTCCTGCCAGGCTAGCCCTTCGTCCAGCAGGCTAATTGCTATAATTTCCATGATGAGGCTAATCTTCTCAAAGCTAGCCCTTCACTCACACTTGGCTGTTATCCTTCCACTGAGTGAGGAGATGCCCCCCTGCCTTTTCATCCAACACAGAACGTGGTTCCTTCTTGTCTCCCTTCTAGAGTAGAAACAAACAATTAGCCTCGAATCTAGTTTCTAATTTTTGTGTTTTGAGCAGTATCCCTACATCTGAGCCTCTCTCCATCTTTCTTTCTCAGTTTTTCAAAGGCCCACGTTCACACACACACACACACACACACGTTGTTTGTCCTTCTGAATGAGCTCATTGTTGTCGTGGAGCACTCCACGTGTTGTCGAGTGGCACAGGCAGCCCACTCTTGTTGTCTGACTGATTGTTTACGTGCAACCGACTTGTCCCTCCTCTCCTACACACTGCCCTCTGCCTCTCTTTGTTTACATCCTTGTCTTTCCCTCCTTCTGTCTTTCCTTTCCTCATCCCACCTCTTGTTATTTTCCCCACCCCCGTTTCCACCAATGCCTTCGCTGCATTCTACTCCCCTTTTCTGACTTTCTCTTTGTGCTTTGTGTCCCACAGCTAGTGAGAGTGTGTTGCTGCAGCAGCTCTTCCAGTCCAAACTGACTCAGACTGGGTCTCTGGTGCCAGCAGCCCAGGGCCCCGTCGGGCTAAGGGGGCCTAAAGCGGCCTTGTTGCTCCACAGGATGCCATCATCCTCCTTCGTCACTGCCAACTCTGCCCTCCAACAACCTCGTCGGTACCATGACCTAACCAAGGTACTAGACACAGTTCACAGTGTGTTGTCCAGTACTTTCCTCTGTAGCTGCTCTGCTTCAGTCATGTCTGACGGTCTTCTGTCCCTAAAGCAAAGACTGAGGCTCCATTCACATTACAAAGTCTTCCATTTTCTCCATATAAAGTCTGACCAATATCTTTTATTATGACACTGTGAACAGTTGTTTTTTTCCCCAAATCCAACCCAGACCCTTTCTCACATGTGGTCTAAATCTGGTCAGGACTGGATGCTTGTCAAAGTGACCTCAGTCTGAACAGTTCTACGACATCATTGAAGTGAGACAGACGTCAATTTATATACATTGACTTATAAAAGTAACAAACACTGTTGAATTAATTAGTCAGTGGAAAAAAAAAGATTGTTAAAGTTTCACACTTTCCAAGAATGTGAGGTGGCGACAGGAATGCTGACGTTGCAGGGCTTTCCTCCCAAGAGGTCAGCACTTAGGGGTCAAAAGCTGGGATGACCGCTGGCCACAGGCACAGCCACGGGGGAGATTGGAGGCGCTCTGATTGATAACAAATCGATCAAAATGACTGACATTAGTGGCACAACAACTTAAACACACACTGTAGTTAACATGTAGTTTCCTTATTACTTCCACAAACACAAAATGTGATGTCACATCCTGTGCGGGACATTTCAGGACAATAGGAAGACTATAATATATAACCATGTAAAAAAAGCTGTCCTAAATGAGACAATGTTACTCTTTAATCTCTCTCAATAACTTTATGTGGTTTGTTAAAGGTCGCATGACCTTGTGATAAGTTGTGGTTCCATAGAGTAGCAGTTATCACGTCTGCTACGAACAACTCAAAGAAGAAGTCAGTTCAGGTTTTCAGCCTAAGATACTGACTTTCTACTGATAGTTAAAACAAACAAACAAACAAACAACTAATTCATTGTTTTCATTATGTATTTCTTTGTAGTGTTGACAACCGTTAAAATGATCTTTACACTTCTTGTTAAGCCATTTAATTCTTCTTCTTCTCTTTTGTCAGATCTTAAAAAAGAAAGGCTCGAGCTCCTTCCTCCAAAGACTAGAGCGGTGTGGACCAATAACAGTGGCCGTCCAGTTGAGGGTAAGAGACTTTTCAAGACGCATGAGCATCTAAACATGACAATGACTATGCCGTGAAATTACTGTGACATTTTTACATTATGTTTCGTCCAATTCAGCTCAGTCACAGGAAAGACTTTATCTCCTGATTATGTATGAAAATAAAATTTAATTTAGCCTGTAAACGCTAAAAAAACCCTGGAAGTCCTTTGCTAATGCTCATCCACGTTTTTACGAGTAAGATAGATTGATTCTTATTTTTCTGGGCAGGTATTTAATTAAATTTACTTGTGGCAACACAGACAAACCCAGCCTGTTCATTTAATGGTAATCTGTTTTTTTATGGTCACATAAAAGTTAAGTGTACAAGTTAGATGTGTCCGTATTTCAAACATTTGTTCTCATATCATTTAATATCGTCCAAATGGTTTTTTTTTTTGTTTTATTACCCAAAACACATTCAAATAATTCCCAGCAGGACCTGAATGCAGCACACTGGGATTTCATAACCATGTAAAGCAACAATATTTTTCAGTCAGAGGAAAGCACTGGAGTGTCTGCCGGTGACGCAAGGAGGCTGAAATGTGTTCAGAGAGGCTTTACCTTTGGCTTGAATGAAACCAGTGTGTTGCACAATCAAAGTTGTGGGCTTGTGGTCGACGAGTCCCTCAGGGAATGGCAGGGAAGGAGAGAAGTGGGCTGAAAAACGATGCTGTACCAAGCCAAACATGAAGCCCTTCACATGAATGAATGAACAATGAACAACAACCACTGTGTGCCGTGCACACGCACTTGAGTGTGCATGGCACATGATTGGTGGGAATGTTAATGCCGGCAGTGACACTTGAAGATGCAGACCCAGCAGTTTGGCAGCGTACGTACGGTCGTGCACAAGACGTGACGTCAGTCCGTGACGTACCAAAAACACAAAGTGTTTGCTTGTGCGTACATACGTGTTGAATAATTGAGTCTGCGGCCGCATTCGCTCAATTACAAGTAGACAGTTCTACGGACAGGGATGACTCAGGATTATGTCTGACACCATATGTGGATTTGATCTGCGATTCATGTCAACAAAAAGCATTCAGCTGACATCACTGAGCTGGTAATTAGTGGTAGTCTGCCGTCATAGTACATCCTTAGTGATTACAGCATCAAGTATATTTAGTCATTTCATCAATGCAAACTTTATTTCCGACAAAGTTGGCATACTTTCTCTTCAATCTTGAATCACTTGAACTTTTGATTCATCAGACAAGGACAAAGGAAATACTTCTTCTGCTATTACTTCAAGAATTCATACTATAAAAACACAGGGACGTTGTGGTAGAGGTCACTTCACCCATCTGCTCCACTTTCTTTGAATTCACGTTTACTCTGTTAAAACTGACAAAAGTAAGTTATGCAGGTGGGAATATTTCCAGCTAGATGTGAACCGCAGGAGTAGTCAAGATTCCAAGAGTGTCCTTTTCCATTTCAATGGAATTTATGTTTCTACAACATATATATATTTATATATATAGTATTATATTCATACATATACAGCACAGTATCAACATTCATGTCACATCCTATTAAAATATATGTTTAAAGATGAGATACTTGAAGATAATAATAAATGTAATCTAGGGAGTTTTTTTTTTAATGTACTTTCTGAAACAGTAGAGGCTTTGAAGGTCTCCATTTAGTAATAAGGCATGACGTCTGCCGTCTTGACGTAAATGTATTTAAATGGAAATTTGATCGCAAAAATTAAAACAGTTAACATGCAAATTGTAACATCCTCATCCTTTTATGCACGGGATGCGTGGAGTGTGAGAAGAAGAGCCAATCAGACAGTTCATCCAGGTCATGGTTCATCCCATGGCCACATATCTGAGCACAAATGATCATGTGCAGGTTATGAATTAATGATGTTATTCACGATTCATATAATTAACTCAGTTCTTTGTTCCTCAGCCTTTTTTTTGTATTATTTGTATTCTAGTAAAAAAGCTTTGATTTCATTGTGCAGCGTTTCCTGTGAAGAGCCACACACTGACCCCTCCTGACCCCTCTGACACACACACACACACACACACGTGTAAGGCAAACAGGCGGACAATGGAACTGCCTGTCACAGCCAAACTGGCCAACAATGCTACACATCTGGTCTCCGCTGGGGAAATGTTGTACGTGTTCATGTGCATGTAGAGCAACAGAGTGTAATGCAGTCACAGGTCAAACTGTACTGTGTACAGTGTGTGTGTGTGTGTGTGTGTGTACAGACACATTCTAATGTCAGAACCTGGACTTGTCTATTTCTGATCAATTATACCAAAAAGCAGAGCTCTGTCAGATATGAACGAGGCCTGGGTGACCTTAGATGTTTCAAAAATGGCCCCCCTCCACACACAACACATGCACACACACACACACACTCAAGAAAAGGCAAAGAGTCCTTTGTGTTTCAGCTAGAGAGAGAGATAAAAAAACACTCCCTAAAATCAGACCACTTTGTGACAAAGACAGCGTGATATCGCTTGAAATCAAGTTAGAACATCAAAAGGAACTCTTCCTCTATTTCATTTTGCAGTACGTGATGTACAAGAACAGAATACTCCTTTGACTCCAACTCTAAATATAGTAAATCAGTAAATGTTACACGGTGTGTTAGTGCCGTGTCTTGTAGTGAATGGAACATTACTGACGAGTGCCTTCAGCTGTTTCTCTTCTCCTCCATTTTTTTCCCAGAACTCGCTGTCAGAGATGATCAGCAAACTGCAAGCAAGCACTCCTCACTTTGTGGAGTGCGTGAGCCCCGATGCCAGCGGTCAGCCAGACACTTTTGACAGCTTTCATGTGTCCACCCAGCTCCAGTACATTGGTGTGCTTGAGATGGTGCGCATGATCCGTTATGGATATCCCGTGCGGCTGTCCTTCCCTGGCTTCCTCAGCAGGTCAGTGCAGGACTGCTGTTGTGTAACTGAAAACAGAGCAGGTTTCATAACGTCGTCCTCTGAAGTTATTGTTCAGCGCATGTTGATCCTGTTCCCCTCACTTCACCTTTTACCTCTTATACTTCTAGGGAATGTTGATGTTGAATTTTACCACCATCTCATTCAGGTTGGATACATCAGTGTGACGTGTGGCGTCTTCTTTTCTTTTCAGACACCTCTGTTTGTTTTGTAACTTGTAACTAGCAGGTATTTGATTTGAAGCGGCCAGAAAAGTCAAACGAGGACGTTCCCACCGAGTGAAAGGTTTTAGGAGACCGCTTAGAAAAGAATTTATGAGGAGGATAACGGCGAGTATCAGTTGTCATTAATTTATTTTTATAACTACAGCATAAAGGAAGGTGTGAGTTATCTGATAGAGTCAAACGGACATAATGGCTGCGTCAGAGCCTGACCACAAGGATTGTGGGTTTTCTAATTTTTAGCTCCATATTTTTAATACTTTCCTATTGTAAATATTGTCTTTCCAAATATCATATTAAAATGAACTGTCTGCCATTACTTTCAAATATGAAAAAGTGAAACTGAAATTAGCTTGAAAACCAGTAAGACCAGCTTTACTTTGCAAAGTTATTGAACCAAGGATATTCTCTATGGTGAAAAACAAGATGTAGAAATCAAAAACAAAACTCGTACTCACACGTACTGTATGTCTCTTCTCACTGTTTGTAAATAACATTGTTCTGTTGTTGGTTAAACAGTTGGACTGATATGAGAATCACGTCTATAAACCAACCTGATGTAAAGTTAAAATCTAAATATATTAATGATACACTTCGAACGACTCTGACATGTTGTTGCGTCAACCAGTCGTCTCCGGTCGTCCTGTGGGGGAGACAGTGAAACTCACCCAGCTGTGTCCACCTTCAGCTGCTGTTTTACATCCCCACAAAACATTAGTGTCTACTCCTCCGGTTCTGACACACAAAAAAAAAAATATCGATAAAGTAACCTGTGTGTCTTCATTATCTTTTCATCGATTGCCCTCGATTCACCCTGATGTCTGACTCCCATGAATTGACCATGCAAGATATTAGGCGCACCGGACAAAATGGACACAAATTATGGCAAACATTGTCCCTCTGCGCCTTTTGTTTAACGTGAAAAGCATTTGTAGTGAGCAACTCAGTGAGGACAGAGAGTGTGTCCTTAGATGAGCTCAGTCAGTGAGGAGGGAGACGGGAGTCGGACCCCCAGCAGACTATATAGGATGAATTGGAAAGGATTCAAATGTCCACTGAACTGTATGTTAAACAAGCATTTTTGTTTTCTTCTTTTTTCATATGCTCTTCTGTTTTAAAAGTACACTGAATTTATATTCACTGTACGTTTCATAAACACCATAACTAGAAGATTTGCCTGTTGATATGTAATCAAATGTTATTTGAATAATGGCTGTTCAAAGGAAGCCGGTCAGCCCGTGTCTTCACTGTGGCTGTAAATGAATGTAACAGTGTTTACAATACTGGATGAGACACATCCATGCAGGCTCACACATTCACTTTGAAAAGTCACGCCGACCTGCGTCGTCGGAGGGGCATTCTAACCTGAAGTGTTTGTTCAGGGGAGTCCACTGATGTATCTCATGATCTCGCACATTTCTCGTGTCAGTCTGACACACATTACCACATCAGTTGTGTGTGAGGTCACTATGTCCCTCTGTTACATTTCAGCACCAACTGCTTTGCTCAATAATTCTGAGACTACCTTTTTGTCACATTAGTCAAACTGTCGTTAACTCTCTTGTGTTTCCAGTCTGTCTTTCTGCATCTTCTTTTTCTCTCTGTCTCTCTCCCCCTCACTTACCCCCCGGGGTACCCCTCCCTCCTGCTCCCTCTTTTTGGGAGGAATGAAGGGATTAAAACAAACATTCCTGCCAGATAATGAAAGAGGACAAAGCAGGTCACATGACCCCCCCAGTCCTCCACATCACAAAGTTTCCACTGCTCGGCTGTAAACATCGTTGGATCACACACACACTCGCAAGGGAACCACACAGCTCTTTATTAGCACCCAACTTACAAGACATAAATTAACCCCGTTCTTTGGCAACATTTTCAACTCCCCATAAACAGCTTGTATCATTCACCACACAAGTGGGAAAGGGTATTATTTTCAATACAACCTCCCCAAAACCTCGGAAACATACGTACACTGAATGTAAGAGACCGTGTTTCACAAAGTGACTTAAATCCAAACATATTGTGAGGCAGAGTCGCTGTTGAAGCAGTAATTGAAAGATTGCCGGAGAGCGGCTCGGGAAACTGCTAATCCACATGTATGTCTGAGCATGTGTACGTGCGACCCTGTGACCATCTTTCATGCGTTTTTCAGGCAGCCATGTGTTGTGTGATAATCTCTTTGCAAGCGATGGGTGTGACCGACAGATAACTGAGCATCCCCACAGCCAGCTGGCTGCCAAAAAAGGGAAACTTAACCGTTGCTGGGCTGGGCATAGCACGGAGGACGTCAGGTCAAAAGTCTGTGTTTAGTTTTCTGGGGACTGGTCCCATATACAGCAGGTTACAATTAGCTTTATTGTAATATAACTCTTGTCTGAGATTCCAGGCTGATTTCCAGAAGTTCTGTTTTGCATTTCCAAAGTCACTGTTGATATTGTAACCGTCCAGATGTGTTTTAAAGTGAAGCCAGCACGGCATGACTGAACAGCTCGGAGATATTAGACTGGAAAAAACTCAAGTATATGGGTGGAAGTGTATCTTAATTTTCACAAAACACGATGGAAAACCTGCTCCAGCTGTTGAATGGGATGAAAGCACATAACCCTTACCTAAAGCACTGCTTTGATGCATTCCTACATGGCAGCTGTGTCTGGAGGGAGGAGGAAGCGAGAGATGACTCAGAGGAACAGAGACAGGCAGTCTAATGTTTGGAAGGTGGATCGCCCTTTGTTACAGGTTTAAACTGGAAGAATCTTAGTCACCAGCTTCATTTGCATGAGCTGGAATGGTGATTTGGTTGTTGGCTGGTTTGTTGGCTGGTTTGTTGGGTTTTTTTGGCATAGCAGCAATAACTAAACAAAACATAGAATTGAGGGAACCCAAGCCCAGCAAATCTGATCTGATGATAACTGTGATGTGACTGATAATTTGAAATATTTTTCTTGACCTGTTGAAGTCACTCGATTCTAGCAGTAAAAAAGAACCTGTTAGGAAACAAAACATTGGCATACAAAGCTAACTAGCTAGCCAAGCTAGATAAGATAAGCAAAATGTCCTAAAAGACCTTGAAAACTAGCCCAAAATAAACTTTCCAAATCTTACATTTCTAGTAATTGAAGTGCATTTTAAATCCTCTTTTCCGTTTTTTTTTGTGTTAATGTAACGTTGCTAATAGAGACATTTTATTCGGATAACATTTCAGCCAGTAGTATAACAAATGATGTCAATAAACCTAAATGTGGCTTATTACAAGAAAATAAATATTTAATACTGTATATGAATGTATGTTGATGTGAAATGAAAAATATAAATGGGATGCGCGGGTTACCACCATCATAAAAAATAGTGTAACCAAGAGTTTCGACAAAGAATGGTTGAACAATTTGATTTTATTCCTGTAGATTTTATCAGTAAAAACATCAAAAACCTACAGCCTGCTGTATTTGATAAGAAGTCTTGAGCGTGTAAAACCTACTTAAGTGCCATTACTGGCCCCGGGCCTCCCATTGGTCACATCTGCCCCTAATGTAATGTAAGGGCTCTATAGGCTGTCTCTCCTGAGAGACTGTAGAAGACCCTGTTTGAACTGCTGTGGCCCAGGACCTGAAGTGGACCATCTGCTATCTATCCTTCTGTTATTTACTCTACTTCCTTAGTGTCCTCGGGCAAGACGTTGAACTGCTGTGACACTTGAAAAGAGAGCTGTGTTTACTGTAGATGCATGGCGTTCTGGTTCATATCAATGGTTGCAAATTGTGCTGTTCATTTTAGGTTTTGAGCAATTTTTTTTAGAAATGGCCGCTGAATTTGCTCGGCCTAAAACTCTCGTGTTAAAGAAACTACTTGTTCGGGACTACTCCAGTAAATCTATAAAAAAAATTATTCAAATCTTCAGTCACACACATTTCGTGAAGAAACATCGATGTAAAGCTTGTTTGGCCATGAGCTCATATGAGACAATGAAATAATAATGAAATTATCAATAGGTTTTTACTTGACAGAGATGACAAGTGTAATTTACTGGTGTCAGAGGAGGGCGCTGTCCAGCATTTACACTGGGTTTCAGTAGTGACATGGGAGACCTGAAATGACTCAATTGTCTTAAAACATTTTGACTATTTTAAATTATCATAGGTGTATTTAGAATTTTAGAACATGTCTTGGGGTTGAGGGAGGTAAAACAGGGGATGTTAAGCAGCCGTTATGAAACAAAATATTTAAAAAAGAAATATTTGATATTAGATTATTTCCATTTATTAATTTCTAAATGTAATTAGAACTAGAAATAGAACTTGGAAAGTGAAAACAAAGACATCTTCTGTTTCATGGTTAAGGCCTAACTGTATTGTGAATTTTGGTTTTGTTGTATTTTTAGCATTATAATTTTAGAACACACCACGAGTACCTAATGTCTCGGTAATGACATTTACAAACGTGGTCTAAACCTTTACTGTCACCTAATTCAGATTGAAGTCAAATATAAGGTAAAAACATTACCACCTCCTCAGTAATAGATCACTGCCCAGTACTGCTTTGTGTGTCGGTCATGTGTTCTGTTCATACCAGTGGGCCTTTTGTGCGAGCTAGTGTCTGACGTGAGCACCTTTTAGGGTTGTGCTTAATTTGAGTGGCTGCCACTCACAAAGACACCAGTCATCCTGGCCCAACTGCCATTCATATCTTTCTGTACTGTGTGGGAGGAGAGGGAGAGAGAGAAAGGGAGAGAGAGAGAGAGACAAGGCCAATGAATAAACACAGAGAGAGCGGTTACTGAGCCGGGGATGGCTGTACTGCTGTCCTCATTTGCCTTTATCTCACTTCATTTTTTTTTCTTCCAGATTTTCTCACTTCTTTCATGCGGACCACCATGTTCTGTCTGATTCTCTTATCACTCCTCGTTCACAGCACGTTTCATTAATTATTCTGGTGGCTTCATTTCCAGCGTGTTCTGGTTGGCCTGTTCCTCTCGTGTGTGTGTACACCCGTACAGTACAGCGCCCTCTCAGTGTCTCCTTGTTTCTTATCCCTTTTACTCTTTCCATTTGTCACACTTTCAAAACTGGGCTGCGGCCTAATCAGAATGACAGGCCAATAAATCAGCCATTTATCTTGAGGTTGCTCTATTCCTGTGACCACAAACACATCAGAGTGTGTGTGTTGCGGATGGGAAAAAGGTGCAGTGGAACCATGTGCTGGCCGGTTCACAAAGTCACAGTAGCTGCCTGAAGTGAATTACATTACTGTCCCGGTAACCAGAATGATTTATGAGGAAATCTATATTACTGTTGTTTTTATTTGTCCTTTATGATACACAGTGTGCTTTGTGGCCAGGTTTATTCTCTAGCAATGTGTAAGGTCAAACGCTACCACTTGAACCTTGTCTCTATTAATCCCAGGCCTCCATGTGGGTTAGCGTCTCCCATTGTATGTACGAAGTGAGAGTCGCATCACAGAACACGCAGGGCAGTTATGTTTTCTCCATCGCTTGACTTCCACTGGTTCGTCATTTAAAGCTTCCACAGATGGAGAAATGCTCGTTTGTAGACAGTTGAGTCACGTTGGGATTAATACCCTGTATCTCAGTCCCATCCCTGAGGGGCTAGGACCCCATGACTGAGCCAAACCTGTATGCCTTCCAGACACAGCCACCTTAAAGTTTGTCAGATGGACACGGACAGTGTCACAGACAAAATGAGTGCTTTCATCTACGCTCATCTTCTTCTCCCTCGCCCTTCATCACTTCGGTGATGTTCAATAACGCCGGACACTGATGGCCTTTCGGTCACAAAGAAGTCCGTTAGTGCCCTGTAGCCCTTTGCTTCGGCCCCTATCAAAGGGGTTATTTCCTTTCTGTGACACCAAATGAAGCCCCCTTGGGTCTTGTAAAATCAGAGATCGTCAGTGGTTTTTATATCCTCATAGGGAAGGTCATGGGTTTACAGAGTTCCTTTGTGTTTTATGGGCTCTGGGGGGACAGCGTGTGTTGTCTGCAGCACTGGTGTTTCCATACACACACAGAGGGTTAGAGAGAGTTCAGAGCGAGCCCACTCCTGCAAATAAAACCCAACTCACAGCCGTTCACTCACCGATGTTAATGCACGTTGTCCAAACGTGTTTGACGTCCTCTCACTGACGACAGGGGACATGAAACAAATACAAACTGATAGAACATATTTTCAAGAAATCCCAACAGTTGTTGACTGACAAACAGCTTTTATCTGAAAAATCTTTTATTCCTTTCAACATTAACTGTGCGAATATAGAGTAGGTATACAATAGGTCAGCTGGTGCCCCGGAGTTACAGTCTTTTAAACCACAAGGTCAGCGTCAGGTCAGTGGAAGCCCCTCCTCTAAAATGTCCCTGGGCTCAAAGCTAAATCCCATATGGAACCATTTGACTCACTGTTTAAAAATGTATGAATATTTACTGAAAAAAAAGAAAACCTGCAGCAATAGTCTTTATAATAATAATAATATATATATTCAACTAATTCTACTTATAACAATAAGGATATCAATAATAATAATAATAATAATAATAAACAATATATAAGCAGCAAGAAAATAAATATGTTTTATATTTATTTTCGGATTAAGCACAGATTTAGCAGTAGTATTGCACTTAAAGTTTCATAGTTTACTTTAGTACAGTAGTAAAGTGCAATACTTGTGTTTGAGATTATGTTTGTATGATGACAGTTGAGTTCACTGTTTTACACATTAATACTTGATGAGTCTATAATCAGAATTTGGAGGACTAGTCTCAGTGTTTATGGCTTTAGTTTTTTTTTTTTTTTCTAATCTACGACTGTCAGGTTGAAAAGTGATTTAGAGTTTTCACAGCAGGACTGACGCCATCTTCCTGTAGGAACAATACATTAAAATAGTCATTTCTGCACAAACACTGGTTTTGGTTCCCGGCGTACTATTGACACTGATGTGTTCATCTTCTCCATGGACTATGTGCACAATGGAGCAGGGATTTGTCAGCCAGTTGTCCATCACAGGTGGTAATACTTGAGTCAAAGCTGCACAGTGACACACAGGATTAACAGAGCCAGTGTGGCAGTGTGGATCAAATGAGAACGCACAGATCTCTGTGTGCTATTTGCAGGCAATTACATAGATCTATTACCCAGTGTTTACATCAGAGACCAGAGATTATTATTTGATTTAGTACTTCCAAGGAGACCGTGTTCATTTAGTTCATTGTCAACTAATTTCATTTACACCTACACACAATGGTGGTGGTTATGCAGTCCTAAAGCAGGGGTGGGGGTGGGTGGTTCATTAATCAGTTAATGTGTCATTTTTATTCCACGCACGTCTTGGGATTTTGTGGTGAAGCTGATTTTAGTCGTGACGCCCATTTAAAAATTCTACTTCAAAAAACTGTGCTTCTCTCTACCGTTGTCAGTCCTGTGTGAACACAGGTCACGCTGCTTTAGTCCCTTCACTATCCCAAGCACAAACACTCCACTGCCTACATCCAGCTGACCACTCATAGCAACGGTTGCCCGGGGCAACGGCAATAGGAACAGATGCTGTTTGGCTGAGTCTGCTGTATGACCCCTCTGACCCTTGAACCCATTGTTTCTAGAAAGAGGCGGTCTCCCCTCGCCCTGTCTGAGTTGTTCATTTCGGATCCTCAGATTTGATGTTTTTTTTTTTTTGATTTTGTTTTTTTTTTTTCGTGTGTGTTTCAGATATAAAGATCTTGTGGTCTTAACGTTGGAGGACAAGAAAAAAACCTCACCAGAGGAAAGGTGCCGCTCAGTGCTGCAGAAGTCTAAACTTCAGGGATGGCAGGTAGGTATTTGTGTGTGTGTTTGTGTTGAAATGTGGGAGTTTGTGCACGTGTGTCTGTCCAGTGTCTTTTTCGGCCTCATCAATAACAAAGGATTTGCAGAATGACTTAATCCCTGACCCTTTATTTGAAAGATCCCATGGAATCTTTGACAGCCCATTCCAGCTGTCCCACCTCATCATAATTCTTCTCACACACACACTCACACACACCCCACAGCAGTGTGGATCCCTCCGCCCCCTCTCTGTCTTGTCTGCCAGACTGCTGTTGTGTCTGAGTGTGTGACCCTACAGGTCACATCAGCTCCTGCCTCACACACGCACGCACGTTCCTTAACAAAGCCTCACTGAAAAGTTTTTCTTACTTCTCTGCTTTACATGCACACACCACCACAAAGTAGCGTAGCGTAGTAGTGGTTGGATTGAATGGTACTGTGTTTGGCAGAACGTCACCTCCACACTGCTCTGCATCTGGTGCAGAGTGACCTCTGTCAGAATGACCTCCCCCCCAAATTCGCTCCAACGTTCAGGAAGTAAATGCAAAGTTAGCATACAATCCCACAGCCTTCCCACACTCAGAACCCTCAGGACAATGTGGTCATGGTGTTTGTCCTCCATACCTCATCTATCCAAACACACTCTTCTTCCATAGAGTTCTTCTAGAAACCTGCTGACAGCAAACAAATGTCAAATACTTGGTATTTGTTTTTATAGATGGGCAGCAGTAAAGTATTCCTGAGATACTGGCAGGCAGACCAGCTCAACGACCGCTGCTACCAGCTTCATAAAAAGATCATCACCTGTCAGAGAGGTATCGTTAATTAAGTAGGACTATTTTTAAAAACTTTTTTCACCCCTGACACTCAATGTCCCTCGTAATGTTGCAGTGGCACGCGGCTGGTTGGCGAGACACAGGGTCCATCGCATGCTGCAAACAGAGGAGTGCAGTGTGCAGCGTTTCCTGCAGGGTGCAGAGGACATGGGGCTGCAAACCTATGACCAGTTGGTCATCCAAAATGCCTCAGATATTGCAAGAGAGAGTGACCGCCTGCGCAGCCAGGGCAGCAACAACTTTCGGACCAACCTGGGCAGCAGCCCTCCGCTGGGTGAGAGGCCTGAGCCAGTGGGGAGAGAAGAAGATCAGCCCTTCAGGAGGTAAATCAGCTGCAAGAAATAATGTGGGGATACATGAATGGATGAAGAGGAGCTTTAATTGTAATTATCAACAATTTAATTGCAATTGTTCTCAGGGGCGTTATCTAAAAAAAATTAGTTTAAAGTGTTATTGGTACAGATAATGATCTGCTCTATCAGATAGTATTAGTGTAGCGTGGCAGCTGTGGATCGCTGTCCTTATCTCCATCACTCCTCCTCCTTATATAACAAACCTGGGACATGGAACGACTGTGGAGGGCTGAGTTAGAACGGCAACAAAATAGGTACAGTAACGAGTGTCGTGTTAAAGATGGAGTTAAAATAAATGAAACTGCTTTCCTGTTTAATCAAATAAAGCAAATGAAAGTGGCTAACAAAATAGAGCTAAGGCAATTGTATGAAAAGTTTGTAGCAAGTATGAGCTCCAAAACCTTTTCTTTTTACAGTAAATGACCCAAAGATTTATCAGCAAATATATCAATATACAGTAAACCCAAAGATGCGTACATTTGAAGTATTTTAGCCGTTGTGCGGTGTTGATCTGTAGTGCACAGTTGGCAGGATCATTTGTTTTGCTCATTGCTGATTACTGTTGCACAACACAGACTCATCAATCAGTTTTCCTGGAAGTGATGATTCACAAGCTTACACCACGTTTACTGTCAGTGTGTGGCTGTCGGTAACAGTAGGTTAAAGTTGTGTACACTCAAAGATAAAATGTAGTGCAGGATGTTTGCTGTATCCTCTGTACGCCCTTGTCAATCCAACATCTGCTGCCGGGGGAGAGCAGACAGGTGCACAGGGAGTTTTCTCATTTGAGCTGAAGGGACAGTGGCAGAGAGGGAGAGGCAGCACAGTTCCTGTATGACGGGGGAAGGTGGGGGGCTACACTACTTATAATCAATAGAAAATATCATTGAAAGAACAGGGGCCACCCAGTATATTTGATGGAAGGCCAGGATTTTTCTGGAAAGTTACGTTGGGGACCGCACACTCAAATAAAATGAAATAAAAATCACATTTTCTTCTAATGAAATGTAAATGGAGCCATCAATGGTTGGGATTACTGATAATTAGTAAGTCTCAGTTGTTGTTTATTTCAGTTCCTTTAATAGAGGGGACCAGATTTGATGATTTGACTGGCCTTATTTCTTTTCTTTTTTTTTTTTACAATATAAATCATAATTTATTTCACAAAATGTTTACACTGATGTTATAAAAATAACATCTGACAAAAAGCCTTGTGTCTTTATGCACTACTATTTGAACAAAGACTAAAATCCAGTTTCTGTAGCGCCTTGTGTCTTTATGCACTACTATATTATGCACTACAAAGACTAAAATCCAGTTTCTGTATTGTAGCAGGATTGTGTTTTTGTTGTTAAAATTGACAGGAAAATCAATTTTCCTGTAAGTGGTAATTCCTGCCACAGCTAAATTAAAACAATAACAAATAAAAGAAAATATGACACTATTTCCTTTACATGTAAATCTAACCTCTATGTATTCAGAATGTCCCAAACCTGACTGTTTTCTCAGCAGGATTTAGAAAATGGCCCTTCCCCCATCACCTGCAGTCTTGGTTGGCCTCCAACCCCCACCCCAAAAAGCAGATAGAAAACCAACAGATGGCACATTCAGATTAGTGAAGGGAATATTAAACTGGACGTGTTATCAAATTACTAGAAGATTAGATTGAGCACAGAATCCCTCTGGTATTTATCCTTTAATTAGCCTCTTTACCATATATTTGTAAATTGACTTTGAGTGAGCTAATAATATAATTCATTCAATTAACAGAGAAGAGAAAAAAAACCTTGGAGTGGATGATATTCCTCTAATCGTTGTCTTTCTTTGAGTGGTAGTTATCACCAAGACAAATCATTGAGTTGTTATTGTATCAACAACATGATGACACACACGTTCTGTTTGTCCATTTTCAGGCCTGTGGAGAAAAGTGGGAAAGTCCTCGAGGGCCACGTCAATGGAGGAAACAGAATTATTCGCCACTATCGCTCCAGTTCAGTACCAATCCCCATCGCCATGGAAACCATGGCCCATTCCCCCTGCAGCCCACCCATCAAACCAGTGTTACAGCAGGTAGCTCATGCTACCGAAGATGGAGCAGGCGGAGCAAGTATGTCCTCCCCTCGGAAGCAGCCTCCTCCCAAACCCAAGCGGGACCCCAACACCCGCCTGAGTGCCTCTTATGAAGCGGTTAGCGCCGGATTGACGATGTCAGCAGCTAAGGAGAGCCCCACTCCAGAAGGCTACGGTTCGCCAGCTGGAAGCCCTCCGAAGTCCCAGCTGTCCCCCACAGATCCTGCAGGTATTTCACCTCCAATGATCTATAGGAGAATCGAACAGATGGTATTTTTATTCTTCAACACTTTGGTGTTTTCCTTCATTTGTTTTTAATTAGTTTACTTGATTTTTTGTTTTGTTTTTGTTTTTGTTTTTTCTGCACATGGCCAAGCCCCGCCCCCATAGTGATGATTACACTGCCATGAGGAAGGTGCCACCCCCTAAACCTAAGCGCAGTCCCAACACTAAATTGTCAGGCTCCTACGAAGAGATCAACGCTGTGGCCCCACAACTCAACCAGCTGCGACCTGCTGATGTAAAGCTGGCTTTGCTGAGCAGGGCTGGTTTGGGGGGCTTCAATGGTGGGTTCATGCAGAAGGCAGCTTCAATCGATGCTCCACCAGGGGTAACACTGAGCCTCTACAAGGGTCATGATGAAGAAGATGTCTATATAGAGATGGTGGGCTCCCAGCCACGGACACGGAGCCTCCAGGAGCCGCCTTTCAGTCCAGAATTTGCCGCAGACTCAGAGTGTGTCTATGAGGAAATGAAATACTTCCCAGCTGAAGAGGGTGTACCTCAAAACTCTGTGGTCACCAGGGCAGCAAAACTGGAGAGTCTAGGCTTGGGCCTGGTGGGATTAGAGACAACGTTGACAGCAGCAGCTTCTATTGACTCGCAAAACATCTCCGCTGGTGGAACTCCAAAATCTCAGCACAGTAAAGAGGGTGGCTGTGACATTCCAGCTCCGTTCCCTAACTTGCTCCCCCATCGCCCTCCTCTCCTGGTGTTCCCTCCATCTCCTGTTACGTGCTCTCCTGCCTCAGATGAGTCACCCCTGACTCCTATAGAAGTCAAAAAACTACCTGTGTTTGAGACAAACCTGAACTACGCCACCGGCCCCGACAGCCCCCTGTCCCCACAGTATGCCAGGCAGAGGGCCGACTCCACCCCCAGCCTCACAGTCCTCAATTCAGAGAAGTCTACACCTCCACTTACCCCTCCACTCCCAGTGCCCCCACCCAGTGCTGCACCTCCTCCTTACAGACCTCCTTCACACTTCCCCTTCCCACCTGAGGCAGGCTTTCTGGCTCTGACTCGAACAGCATCTGTCACGGTGAGCTCAGAATCTCCCAAATCCTCTTCACAAAGGACAGGAGGGGAACCCGTGGGGAAGCCACCTCCCTACTCTCCTGTCAAGATGACTCGGCCAGAGCCTCGCAGAGCGCACTCCTGCTCCTCCTCTCCTCTATTGTTTAACCCTGCTAATGGCAGACCCCTGACCAGCCCGCTGGACGAACTCAACACTCTGTTCAGCTCCGGACGCAGCCTGTTGAGGAAGTCCACACCAGGACGAAAGATGAGAGATGGAGGTCTGTCAGTAAAAACAACAGTTACAGTACACACATCTGAAATAGTAGCATATATATGGATAATATTAATGTCAACACAGCATTAAACACATGAGGCCTGTGACAACAATAAGCCTTCATAATTCTCTCCAAATTAATTTGAATTGAATGCACAGTAACTTGGTGAATGATCAATGTACACACACCTGAGTTAGACCCAACCTAAAACCCACACTTCAGTTGAGCGTGTGTTTTTGGAGGAGTTTATTGTTTTACTTTATGTTCTGTATCCACTGCGGTGACTTTATGATCAGAGTCTCAGTCTGGTCTGGGCAAGATGATTTATTGGGCATTGTGTGATTACTTTCCTCACTCCGGAGAGGTGTAGTGGTGTCCTGTAAGTGAGTAATAAACCCTTGTTTTTTATGTGTGTATGTGACACACATGAACTCAAATGCACAAGCGCCCAAAGGCCTCCATCATAAATCCAGTCCTGTTCTTTGGGAACGCCTTACGTTAATGCAGGTGTTGTCAGCCGGCTCCTCTCTTTGGCCCACTTGAGGAGGACCATTTGTTACAGTCTCCTGCACAGTGGCCTTTGGCTGCTGCAGCTGCCTTCTTGCATGTTAGCAAATGAACTGGTAGATGCAGCCCACTTAGCATTATGCTGCTGCCTTGCTGTAAGTGTGGCTACAATAAGGTTCAGTGCAAAAAATGCAGAGCACATACAGACTCCGTGACACTGATGCAGAGGTTGACCTTTGAGAAAGGAGGGCAAATGTCTCATAATAAGACCCCGTGTAATTAATACAATAATTAATTGTATAATACAATCTTCAGGTCAGAGGGATCAAAGCTGCAAATATATATATATATATTGCACATGGACTGGTATCCCATATCAGAAAAGCATTGTCCCGTCCAAAATGTAGAAACTGTTGTCTCATTGTGAGCCTCTGTTTTCTTCAAGTGTATTAGTTGTGGCCAGGTTAATAATGCATGTGCAGCAGCATGATGAAGATGGACATTAAATATTTAACAGCTCACTCATGTTCTGCTGCTGAAAGTGTGACTGGCCGGTAGTGGCTGACAGGAAATCCTGGTCAATTATCTAGTGGACATGTTAGAAAAATGACAAGCAAGTGAAAGTAGCAGCTGCTGTAGTCGGTAAGCACTGGTGTTTGCTGAGACTTGTTTTTGTTTTGACGTTGCATGACATTTGTGTCATACTTCTATAATTGAGGCGGGTTCAGAGGCCAGGTCGTGGAACTCCTTATAAGAGACTGTATGAAACCAAGTGCAAATGCTGACGCATTTGCCTCACATGACATCTTTCACTTGGCTCCTCAGGAGCACCTGGACCCGTGCAGGAAAAGCACTGGCGTCATGGAAACAAAATGTGTGACAGGGGAACCTGGCACTGGGGTATTTTGAGTGGGCAAAGCAGAGGCGGCCTGCTTAGATCAGAGCGCAGACGGATGCCGATGGTCTTAACGGGATGGTCTACTTCCGCTCCCAGTCAGTTGTTAAATGACTTAGTGTGATACCTGACGCTGTGGGAGTGGCCAGAGGTTACAGTTGCTATCCCAGACATCTCTGTGAAGAGCAGCTGCCGCTCCTTCCTCCTCCTCTACTGCACCATCCACAGGGAATGAGAAAATCAGGGTGAAGAGGGCAGGTGGTCCTGCTGCACGGACTTCAGGAAAACCACTGGCTCCATGAAATATTTCTTTCCTGTTGGGCAAAAAAAAAAAAAATCTCCTCCTATTTGTTTATAATTGTATCGTGAGTTCCTGTAACTCCTCACAGCTCTCACATGGACGTTCTGTGTTGCTGGTTCTCTACCTGGACCTTTCTGTCCCTCGTGAACCAACACCTCCAAGCTTGACCTACAGTAGCGTTTTCTACATTTAAATATAGCTAACGTGTGACCGTGTGAGGACCAGGAGGCACACATTCTCAGTGTGGGACAGCAGCTGACAAATTCCCATTCACACTCCCGCACATACCATATGTGCCCACAGTCACTTACTCATTCATAGTGTGGCAGCATGTGACCCTGTGGGTCATGTGCAGTCACCTCCCCACAGACAGAGCTGAATGAATATGGTTGTACAAGAAAGTACAAAAAAAAAAAACAGGAAGTCAGTGCATCTTTACACATGTTCAGAGATTTATTTCTTTGATTTAGTTGAAGAAAAAGAGAAACAACAGACATGTCTGGTGGTAATGTTTTTTTTCTTCTGCTGCATTTCTCCCAGGATTCAATTCCAATATCAATCTACCAGGGAAGGAAGAAGGGGGCTCAGCCCCTACCTCACCATCTCTGCCACTACAGGATAAGAACGCCAACAACCACCACTCTCTACACTCCCAAAGTCCTGCCCCTGTAGAGAACGGCAACCAGATCTCCAACGGTAACGTCTTACAAACTGAACATTTTTCCAAGTGCCATGACTTCATGTTTTTTGGTGCATTGTTTTAAACGTTCAGGCTGAAGCTGTGGTCAACGTACTGCTCTATAGCTGCATAAAATTACACTATAGTTTGCCCAAAAAACCTTCCATTAAATTAGGATTTGATTAGCGCTAATCCTAATTTAAGATTATCCAAGTTTCCTGCATAAAGTCTAACACAACTTTGAACTCTAACTTGAACTTTGAACATGAATACTGTTCTAGGAAAAACTGGTTTACTCTCTAGAAATGCAATAAAATTTACAATCATCATAGTGACATAAATATATATATAGCACAATTTAAGTCAAAATGTTCTCAGATGAAACCATGTTTTAAGCAGTGTCTCCATCAGAGAATCTTTTCTCTATAGAATTCAATTCTACAGACAACACCGTTCGATCTTTAGTCAAACAAAGAGTGATAACAATCCTCTTAAACACTGAGCGATCATCGAGGCGGTTGTTGTTCGTAACATTTCTATTGGCGTGACAGAATGTTGTTTCAGCTCTCTGCCATGTGCCTGTGCTGGAGAAGTCAGGCGTCCTTCAGTGCGTTCGTGTGTGGGTGGACTTCTAGTCACATGCCTGAACTCCATAATGTGCTTTTGATACTGTGTTCAGGGTCGCTCGAAGATGAGAGTCACAGCAAGCCGAACTCGTCTGGCTCCTCCTCGCTCCACAGACACATGGACAGCCATCATACTCAGGTAAACACAAAAGGACAGCCACTCAGAGAACGCAGCAGGCATTTACTTTAGATGTAGCTTTTTTTCTCTTATATAACATACAAGAGTTCTCTTTGAAAAATTCATTCATCCAAATGTGGATGTCCATTCATGTACATGCACACTGACAAACACTGACGTCACAACCATGAAATGCCGGCTTCTGTGTTTTCTTTAAAGTGCAGTTGAATTGACCCCTGTTGACGCACACACGTCATTTATGACAAGCTGAGTTTTCTCAGCGTTTATAGACAGATTTCGTTCTATTCAGTTTTAAACACACACAATCTAAAACAGTGGTCTCAAACTCCTGGCCCACGGGCTACTTCCAGCCCACAAATCTCTCAAACTCGGCCCTCAACACTATACTGTATTTTTACAGGACTTACATTTTTCAGTAAATTTCTTTTGAATTGAAAATCTATACCTGATGTGGCCCCCTTGTGAAACGGCAGTGAGAGGAGTGGTCCTCACATCATTGAGATTGAGACCCTTGATCTAAAAAGACATCGATTTAATGAATTCGATTTAAGGAATCAGATGCTCAACATGTTATCTGAATGTATGTTCAGTACCATATTTATCTATACATAGGTCACATTGTGCTTTAAATAACAAAATATGTAAAATAATAATACAGGCCACTAATGTCAATCATTGTCCAAACTGTTTTGGACTCTTGGCTACCAGTAGACAATCGTTCTGAACAGAAATGAGCTGCGTGTCGTATATAAGTTAATAGTTAAAAAAACCACACCTTCATTTTCAGTAAGCAGTCAAATGGAAAAAATCTGGATCATCAACAAAGAGAGAGAGAAGAAAATTTAAGCTAAAGTATTGAATGAAAAGACTAAAATACTTTCGCCACAACTGAACTGTCTCCGTTCCAGAACAAACATCTGCCTCAAAGAGATGGTTCCACATTTTCCAAGTTGATCCTTGTCTGGTTCATATGTAGTGTGAAAGCCATTCATGGAAAATTATTACCTTACTGGTCAGCAGTGCATGCTGAGAGCGATCAAGTCCCCGTTGAAAATCATCAGTGACTGCAGTCTGCTCTGATTTAACACGTCCATTAGCAGCTTCATTAAATAACATCTGCTGAAATGCACTTCAGACTAATTTGAAAAAGAACCGAATGTTAGGCCATTACAAACAACACTGCCACACAGGCTGCCCACTGTCTCACATCATTTGGGATGCCTTGACTTTTGTAAATTATAAAAACTGCATGAATGTATTATGCATGACATTGGTTAGTGTCCGGAACCAGGGCTTAAGATACAGAATGGTCTGTACTTTTAAAGGGCTCTTCTAGTCCTGATCACCACTTACAGCACTTGACACTACAGGATAGCCATCAGCCAGGATTCCATGCCTGGAATCTATCCCACAACCTTTGGCTCTTTAAAAAATACTTTTAATTTCCAACATCAATGACATCATTTTAACCTCAGTTAAGTGAATTTTATTCCCAATCTTTTGGTCCAGTGTCTAAAAAACAACAGTGAGCTGCAACTAGAGCCTTGTACTAGAGCAAGTGTGACCAAAGTCCAACCCTGGGGCAAAATGCGGCCCATGATTAAATTTTATGCGTTCCACAGCATCTGTCAATATCATTAGCTTCCTTTTTTTTTTTCAAACTGATTTTACTTATTAGTTATTAGTTATTAGTTTATAGGAAACTAAAGTTGACAACTTTAAGGGTCTTTAGATTTAAAAGAGGGATTTTTGTTTACTGATTTTTTCAGTTTACTGAAAAATCTACACCACAAACTCTTTCCTTATTAGTTTATAGGAAACTAAAGTTGAGCAGCGTGGAGCAGATTTAAATCTCCCCTCGGTGTCTGTGAGCCTCTGCTCAGGTTGTAGTCTCAGCACTGTGTTAAATAAAAGAGATGGAAGGAAAGTACTGAGAGTCCCACTGTGGGAGGAGCTTAGGACTCATCCTTCGTGAGACGCTGCCACTAGAGATGTGAAGGTACACTGTGTACACTTCACCAACATTGATGAAAAGAGCGCTGCCACAGCAGGACTGAGCGTGTCTGTTGATTCAGATTCAGTGTTGGTGTGTACATGCCCTCACTGGACACTTCATCAGGTACTTTGGAAAATCACCTGTAGAACCATTTTGCCCGTTTTGACACTAAATATGGAGTTAATCAGGTGAGGAGTGGTTTGGTTCACTTTGACATTGCAGTTATATTATCATGGATGCTGCATTCTGTTGGTGTTGAAACGAACACTGACCAGAAAGGAAACCACGAGGATGAAGGAAACGAGGCTCATTGGTCGATCACGACCTAAAATCCTCATCCATGACCTCGAGCCAATAACAACCAAGATAAATACACTACACTGTCCTGACCACATATAGGCAGGTGTCTGTGACTCCTTGTTGCTACCAGGCAACCTTTTTCTAGTTTATCTTCATTTGTTTATTTAAATAAAATACACTTTTTTCTACTTCACTTCCTCCTTTTGGTTCACTTAATTGTAAAGCTGCCAAAAACTTAGCAGACTAAAAGAAGGAATGGACTCAAACTAGCAACAGAACCCCAACGTTTCTTAACTTTGTGTGCAACCAGTTGAAGAAGTACCTCATTAACTTTTACGTTCTGTTCTTGTTACTGTTCCTGGTGATTAATTTATTCTTCGTTTATTTGTCTCATTTTTCAGAATTTGTATATTTACTTGTATTTGGCTGCTTGTTTCTAACGAGCCTGGCTGTTGCTCTCATTCCCTCCTTTATCTTCCAGAGGGGACATCTCAACTTTTCTCCTTTCGGTGCGGGGGCTGCCCTCTAAGACAGGGTGGTGGGGAATCAGGGGTGGGGTCACTGGAAGTCCAGTTCACATGTTGAGATGTGGTGAGTGTAACTTATGCCCCGCTTCTCTCCATCAATATCAATGTTTTTCATAGACCCACTGTGGAATAACTGGCATTTAATATCTTTGAACCACTGCAAAATTTCCTCTGTTGAGCTGAACAAGGATTATAAACAGTATCTCAAATTAAGACGATCAAAATTCCATTTATCAGTTCTGTAAACATGGGTCTATGGAAGCGATTCACTGCATCTGCAGGACATCATCTCAGCCTTACTCCAGCCTGTCTTCACTTCCTTCATATCAAATATTCAGTGAAACCTGCTCATAATTCCACTTTCCTTTTTTTTCTACAGTTTCAGTAATTAGTTGTTTTTTTAAAGATCATCTGCATATACAGACACTTTGAGGATACAGGAGATTCTGTAGTAAAAATGCAGCTTTTCCTTGATGTCAGTTTTTATGTTTCTGTGCAGCTGAAAGCTACAGTAGACACATTTGAGTTCCCATCGTGATGTATGCAGTTTCAAAAGAATACTTTTGGAGTATGTTTTAAATACAGCACTGAAAGGGACAGATCCGGATCAGTTATTTGCTTGAAAGATCAAAATGTGTTTAAAGTCTGAAACTTAACATGTTGAACTAAATGTTTGGAGTACATTTGTTGCACTCACTTCGCATTTCTGTCATTCAGTTTTAGGTGAATAATGATGAGTTGAAGTCAGGTGTTTTGTAAGACTTGAAACTAAGGATTTTATGCTGTAGATTTCCCATAGAGATGAAAGATGAATATTTTAGGGAATTCAGTAAGTTTTCTTCCACAATTTGTTTAAAAAAAAAAAAATCAATTGCAGCATTTTTGAGTGACAGTTTTGGATTGACCACTTGTCAGCCTACATTATCATTTATTACCATAACATTACTTATCCATTAACATGTACCTTGAGATTTCAATTGTGCTCGTAAATCCATACATATCCATATATATATATATATATATACATATATATATATATATATATATATCTGCATATCAATATATATATGTATATATGTATGCATGCAGATTAAGAAAAGTTTTCCATTTGTCATTAGCCAGTTGCTATTCATAAAAAAAATAAGATTTTTTTTTTGGAAAAGAAGATATATTTTAAATTTGTGAGTGTGTGTATACGAGTCACTCACTGCAGGACATGTTGTGTTCCCAGTGTTCCAGTAGCTGGTGTTCCTGGCTGGCGCCAGTGCAGAGAATAGCCTGGCAGGGAGGTGTAAATTATGGATTAGGGTCTCTGACTATTGTGCATGTGCAGGCACTCAGTCTGTGTGTGTGTGTGTGTGTTTGTGTGTGTAAAGTCAATGCACTTTATGAATGGCGATGTTACATCCTACTGTATTTATTGCACCTGGAGCCACAGATAACATTTAAATCACAGATGCTGCACAGACATAATATTAGTTTCATTGTAAAACTTAATTATATTTGTTAAACATGAACAGATTGACAAAAAAATTAAAGAGACTTTTACCTTGAAAAGCCTTTCTTTAATTGGCAGGTACATTACTAATTTGTTTCTTTTATGAAGACAGTGTCTTAATTGTCGCTGCTTCCACCATTTTTTTTTCTTCTAAAAAAGGATTGAGCTGATGCTAACGATTCAGTGCTGAACTCATGGCCCGTCACCATTTGCAGTTAATCATACCGTGTTTTAAAGTCAGGGTACATTTCTCTGAATATATGCCAGTGTAGAACCCACTGCTCAACTCACCCCACTCCCCCCTCCCCACCCACCAAGCATTAAGGTGGTATCACAGCAGGAGCAGCCGTGCCGATGTGATGAGCACAAGCGTATGGGAACTACAACAGGAAATCATTGTCTCTTCACCAGCTCTGCTGCTTCATCAGAAAATCTCCCTAAAACTGTGATGTACAGGATGAAAGGCATCAATCAATTTTGTGCAGAAAAGTCACAGAGTTCACAAAGTCGTTGTCATCATGTGACCTTGTCGCCTGAATACATGTAGGAATGATGACATTTTAGCTCCTGGTGTCACAGACCACGTGAGTCCAAATGACAAAAGTCATGTTATTAGTCACGTTTGGTGTTTTGATGTGCTGCAGAGTTCAGAAGTGTCAGACCAATCCCTTAAATCCCATCTTTGAACATTAAGGGACAGCTTCTCAGCAGCAGTCCAGATGCTGCTTCCGTTACAGCAGCCAGCTCCTAATCTGATCTGGATCATCAGGGCCACGAGGCTGCCTCAGTATTACCGTCTGAGGGAGATTGGAATTTCTCACTGATTGATTACCAGGGTATTGACTGGCAAATGATTGATGATGTGCTCCGTATAGACTAGTGTGTGTGACTGCGTGTGTGCGAACACGTGCGCTGTTCTGTATTTGACCTGAATGTCTGAGAGAAAGGAGAGCCACTCAGACTTCCTCCCTGCACAAGGGTCGCCTCTCTAATTCAGAAGATCCTTTTCATCTGGTGTAAACTCAGTGTGCTCCAGGGAGACGGAATGGAAATGAGGCTCCGTTGAAGTTGTTAGTCAGGGAGAGGTTTCCCCCGGCGCTGCCTCCTGTATCTATGGATGTGTGAATCGGGTCTGTGTCCAGCATTGATTCATTTGGATGTTGGTGATCGTAATGAAACAGGAGGGGAAAAAGGATGCAGTGAGTGTTTATTACAGGTGGGGGATGGGGGGGGTTGACCTCATTTAAGATATCTCCGAAAAGAAAAGGTCTACAATGGCACGGTTGACTTAGGTTTTGTCTAAAAATGTTGGAGGTGTACAGCTCCACAGAAGAGCGAAAGCTGCACGTTGTTTCCCACAGGATAGGAGAAGATAGAGGGCGATTCTATATGTATTTATTTGGTATTGGCAGCGTCTCACATCAATGCTGGCCTGTGCATCGTCAAGCCAGTGGCCTGTGAGTCACGACTGGCTCAGACGAGTCTGCAAAATGCTTTTTCCACTACATTCCCTGCAGGAAGTGAGAATTGTATTATTTTTCCTTTACATCGACGCTTCACGATCATTCTGCCCCCAGTGGTCGCCTTTCATCCGCTCATTCAGATCCAGTGATTTCTCAGCGTGTGTTTTAGAACTCACTCTACCGTTCTCTCATTTGCCCACATTTTCTCCAGGTGTTCCAGCGGTTACGTCTCTCCAATGGGGATGTAAACCCCTCCCTTGGAGAGCTTTTGCGCTGGCGGCGAGTGCAGTGTGATCCACGGGGCAACTGGAATAACCATCCACCCCGGTCCCCACCCTTGCCCCCCTCGTTGCTCTGGACCAACAGGAAGGCCTCACCATGACGGACCCTCTGTGAAGCGGTTACATGTGCCGGTGATAAATATCATGCACTTGCTAATATATTTATTTTAAAAATGTGGACCAAGTTAACTGACGTGTTGGGATACGGCTGAAGCTTCTGCCTTGGAGTCTGGGCTGAAGGTTCAGCCACTGGCAGGTGTTTCTTATAGAAAAAAAAAAGTGACAAGCACACAGTCGGGGTTCACTCGGAGCTATTTTACTAACGAAAAAATATGTACAGATGATGTTGCTGTTTATCTCAGGTCCTATGAGATAAAGTGTATGATTTCTGCTGTAGGATTACAGAGGAACATTATTTATAGTTGTCAGATATTAACTTTCCAACGTCTGAGTCTGTCGTGATGCTCTGCTGCACAGGAAGTATCTCCATCGCAAAACATGGTGCTGATCCAACTCGACATGACGTCCTGTGATGTTTCCATTAGAGTCTCAGACTTGTCTAAAGTTTACACGTCAGCTGACACTGTCACACACCTCCAGTGTTGGCCGTCAGACCACCGGAGCATGGGCTTTGACACGGGACCTCTCCAGGTGCAAAGTCCTCAGTACTGTCCCAGGGTGCACTTCTCCATCTCACTGTTACCACCAGCCTCTGAGGAACAAACCCTTCTGGCCAAATTGCAAATGATTGCACTTACTTTACTATAGGAAGGGGATCCGACCAAATAACCTTCTGTAGTTCAACGGATAGAGCCTAAATGGCAAAGCTTAAAGGTAGAGTGCGTGGGAATTTCCTTAAAAATAAAATACAGTTAATTCCTAAAAAGAAAAAGCACATAAATTCTGCGGCAGCAGTTAATTTTGCGTATGATGCTGCTGCAACAAAAAGGATTTGAGCAGCAAACGGAAGATTTGATCTCTTTTAAATCCTTGGATAAAGGCCAAAGTGAGAATGTAGGTATTAAATTTACAGGTCTGTTGTTTTTAGAACGAAAAAAACCCAAACATTTGTCCTAATGTTTTGGGAGGTGTACAGCCCCACCCGATCAGCGTGGACTGCTCAGTATTATAGTTTCCAAGAAAAGTGCAGCATCTGTCGACATACGTCTCAAACATTTTATATGGGTAGTAATTCAATGTGATTGTTACAAAATGACCAGCTTAGAGGTTAGATTTTACTAGCTTACATTTATATTCAATTTTTAAACACTAAGAGACAAGGGCATCCATGCTGTGTTTGTGGCTCCCCCTGAAGGAAGGTTCATGATCTGTGTTTTCCATCAGAAAAAGAAAATCCCTGCGGACTCTGCCTGTAAGCTGTAAGGTATACAGTTCATGTTGTGAACATGAACCTCTGTGCCAAAGTGACACGACTTCTGTCTGGGGGAAAATACAAATAATAATAAAAATAGGTATAGCTGTATAAAGTGATGTGTACAGTCATATAGTCTAAGGAACAGAATGACCAAATCCTAACTGTTGTGCAGTTTAAAGAAGATGAAAAGAAAGCCTAAAAAATGGGCCATAAACAGATATCAAAGTAGAAAAACAACCGTCACCCTGTGTCCTGGACACGTGAACACCGCCTGAATCTGCCTGTGTCGGTGTGTTGCTCAGGAGACTGTGCAGAGCTCAGGAACTCGAACACAGATGAACTCCATTATTGTACAGATTCCCCCTCGCGGTCGGTGAGTCCTCCGCCTCGGTGTCCTCTCTTCACCTCACCACACTTGACCCAAACAAACTGACCCTCCCCTGCTCTGACCCCGCCACCGTCACCTCCATGATGGATTGAACTGGCTCTACGGGTGTTTCCATAGTAACTGCTATTTAAATTGTGACCGGTGGCATATGTTGTGGCTTTTACTGCGGCAGAAAAAGTGCAGTGGAAAAAAATGTGTGGGGAAGAGAGGAAAACATGATGGTGATCTGTAAGAATGTTATGGGTTAGATGCAATGACCTACGATGACTAGGGTAAAAGAGAAGAGGTTTATTTTAAGAATGTGAATAGCTTTTTCAGAATGTTCTATGGCTATGAAATGGTTTATACTCTATTTAATATTTCTGTTCCGTTGCCTTGAGCCTGCTGGTTTTTTCTTTTTCTTTCGGTGTAAGGTCGGATGTTTTTATTGTACATGGATGTTTTTTCTCGCACAGTGTTTTTATGTGGTGCTGCGTTAACTTCCGTGATGGGCTGGGCGTGTCCCAGACGAGGTGTCCGCTACTTTAAGATCGGTCCGAATTGTTAGAACCACGGAGCGTCAATATCTCTAATGGATTTCTCATTCCCACTGATCACCCCACAATGTTTCTGATTGATTCGGCCTCGCAAATTAGCAGCGCCGTCACCGGATCAATCTCTGCTGCTGCTGCTGCAGCATAAGGTGCACGATTATTCAAGAGGAATTAAGAGTGGTGATATGTCACAGCAGGCGGTGGATCAGCTGGGCTGCATTTATGACTGAATGAGTGGCTGAATGTCTTCTACTCCCCTGCCTGTGCTAACTGACTTTGCCCCGTGTATGTTATGACTGGAACCTTACGCCTGTATTTTAGGATTGTACTGGACTGCTTTGCTTATTATTATGACTGTCTTCAAATGCTATGTATGCAGTTTTCCTTCATATTACTAGTCAATAAGCTGAGGACATCGCTCTCTGTGATTCATGCCTAGATTAACAGCTGCCATATTATTCCCATGAAGCAAAGCCTGAGCTCATTCAAGGATTTAATCCTGACATCAAACAGCACAGACAAGAACCCAGATTGAGCGAGTCATCCAAACCAGTGATCTGAGTTTGTCCCTTAATCTGGATTTTTGGTAAATGTCTAATGCATGTGGAATATTTAATAAATGATGTTCTTTTTATAGTAAAACAGTTTTTCTCAAAATGTGAGTTTTTAAGTCGGGGTTGCAGAAAATAAAAACAGTTCATCAGTGAGTGGGAATCTGATGTTTAGCATCGGAGTTGGACTGGCAGTGATTGGCTGGAAGATAAGACCCTGGACACTGACCTGGAGCCTGTTTGTCACAAAGACATTATTTATTGGACAAATATTCTTGCTGCCAGAATTTAGCTGTGACCGAAAGACTAAAGTTACGTGTGACTCCATCATTTGAGAACCACTGTTTTAACTCATCGATGGGTTATGACCTGCATGACCAGATGCTGGGTGTAGCCCTTTAACATCTGCCCATCTTGACATGGTTATCTAGATCTCCAATGTGAACAAAGCTCCCAGCTGCACTGTGAACTAGTGTTCTGTTCTAACCACTTCTCATAAACCTGCACCAGTGCACATACATCAGCAGGGTGCCTACCAGTCGTCTTCTTCAGGCAGGAATCCCCTGTTCTGAGATCAGCTCTCTGGTGCTACAGCCAGTGCAGTATAGGCCATTCTATCCCCCCCCCCCCCCCCCCCCCACTCCAACCAGGTACAGTCATACGCAGAGACCTGATATTTTAGCACCTGAACAGAGGTATTTCACTGCCTTTCATAGTGCTGATTTTTTAATTGTTTTGTACATGACATACAGTATGTTTTCAAATACATATGTGTTGGTGAAAAGAAAAATAATTAAGTATGTGATATTTCATAATCATGTCCCCAATGTTTTATAAGTACTGTACCTGTACAGCAATAAAGCACAACTGTGTCAACGCCGGTCTGACTCAAGCTGGGTGTGTGTGCACGTACTAATGGTAGTACCAGTATAATGTAGTACTGCTGATACCACTATACCAGCAGTTTTATAAAATGGACAAGTGAAGACTATTATATAGTACTATACTTGTATACAAGTATACTGTTTAAGTATATTATACTACTATGCAAGCATATCAAACTTGCATACTGCTATGCAAGTACTATAATTGTAGATATACAGTACCTGCATACAAGTATACTCTACAAGTATAGTGTACTACAATACAAGTATACAGTATCATGTTTGCTCACTGCAATACAACTGTATAGCAGCATTGTATAATGTACTTGTCAAGTATACATGTATGGTATAGTACTTTACAAGTATATCATTCTTGCATCCTGCTGTACAAGTATCAGATACTTGTGTGTAGCAGTACAAATACTGTTGTTTGCGGGACCTTCTGCAGATAACATCTGCCAAAACATTTTATGTCACATTTTTATGATGCAACTTCTACATCAATAAAAAAAGCACTTTATGAAGGCATCGTATAAGTGCTGTCTGAATTTCATGGCTTGAAGGCAGCCAGCTCAAGTTTTAATGTTTGCAGTTCTCGTGCTCTGTTTTGTTTTGTTTTTTTGCATCAAGTGGGAACACAGGAAAAAAAAAATCAAGGAAATCCAAGATGCACACAACTGTGTTGACGGTTGAAAAGGGGTTATTTTCCAAGCATTTGGTTCATTTTTTTTCCCCTTCCCACGAGCGTTGACATTTCCCAGGATAAGAAGTTACCCCTGCAGGTATTTTTACCTGGGGTGGTTTCTTCCCAGAATCAGGTCAAGACAAGCAGCAGTTATGTCAGCTGAACAACTCCACTGTGTTTTCCCACATAAATAATCCACAATAGTAAGTTAGAAGACACCACAGACTGTGGGAAAGTGCTGATTCACTCACTGCCAGCGGTGTGAAGTGTGTAGTCCACGATCAACAGTAGTGAGGAGGAGGAGGAGGAGAAAGAGGAGGTGAAGACAGAGGCGACCGGAAAGAAAATGAATGTTTATGTAGTTGTAAGATTAGAGTTCTGTCGAGTCAGACTGCTGTAGATCTTTGTTGTTGTCACATTTCTTAGGTGTTAGAATAACATGATGATATCAGTTATAAAGACACATCACTCCACTTTATCAGCTGTGGATTTGGTTTTCTTGCAAATGATTTCCTAGAAAGTATTTTTTTAGAAAGTGTCTGTACTTCATTCATTCATTCATTTGTTCTGAGTCACTTTTTTAAATATAGTGTAATGTCATTTCCTTGTTAATCATTCAATTTCTGGGAAAATAAATGACAAAAACACAGTGGATGAAAAGCAGATGAATTGTTTCAAAGCCTGAAATTAAGAGCGTGTCACTATAATAATCAATCATCCCAAGACTTTACCTCAGGTATTAATTTTATTACCGTCGGACCACTGGCATGTCTTATACTCTGACTACTGAAAGTAGGTTATTCTGTTTTGATGAAAGTAAAAGGTACGCGTTGATTGTTGTTCAGGTCAGTGTGGAGATCAGAGCAGAACTCTTTCCTAATTTATCCCCAGCACTAAAAGTGCCATTTTGTCATCGCCACCAGGTTGAAAAGGTCCACCATTACGCAGCAAGAGGGAGTAAATGGCCAGGAGGTAATTTTGACCAAACCGCCCCCGATGCTAAACCAATAAGCCCTTAATCAAACACACAGTGCCTTCCTCTCAGTCTCCCATCTGGGGCATTGAATGTGGTCACCTTTGCCATATATCTTGTGTTTCTCCTGATTCCCTTTGGTCTTCATCACCCCTACAGCCAGTTATGAGGTCTCTGAGGTCTGGACCTCAGTAATTTTCCCCTCGATCAAGGCTGTATTATAAAAGACATTAAATAACTGTCTGCTTTAGTGCTGCAAACTTATTGGACGTCACCAGGATTGCCAGGCTCGTGTGTGTAGGCGGCAGCGTAGGTGGTGTGTTGTCTTTACTACGACACAATCTTTGGTCAACACAGCGGCTCTTTCATTCGTACTACTAAATGGCAGCTGAACTCCATGCATGTGACTAGATTGTTTAGATTGTTGTTTACTAAGTGAACTAGAACAGAGTTTATCACCTGTAATAAACAATAATGTAAATAGTAAACATTTTTACTGAATCAGTTTTGCCTAAACAGTTTTCCATTATTATAATGTTATGTATATACAGTAGTTGATCCAAATGTAAACTATAGGCAGACTTGGGGCAGTGGTGGCTTAGTGGTTAAGGAAGTGGAAGTGGGTCTGGAACGCTTTAGGTTCGAGTCCAGCATCTGCCAAGTCACCACTGAGGTGCTCTGAGCATGGCACCGGCCCCACACACTGCTGCCCACTGTTCACTTTGGTGATGGGTTAAAAGCAGAGGTCACATTCGGTTGTGTTCAGTGCTGTGCTGTGTCACAATGACAAGTAGTTCACTTTCTTCTTCTTTTCTTCTTCCCTATTAATTATTACGTATTTTCAACTCCTACAGTGTCAAGACGTCAGTGCTTCCAAGGAATAATAGTTCGGCGTCATAAGCTGATATCATTCTTCTGTGAAAATGGAGACTTGTTTTTGTTCACTGTGTGAACAAAACACACATGGGCAGATAGATACAATCCAAAAGGTGCCTTTAAATTATCACTACACAATATGGATCTGTGCCAATGAATGTGTTCTCTCGTCAAATAGACAGTGTAAACATTTCTTGCATCTGGTCAGTATTTCCTCAGAACTATTGCAACAACTGGGAATATTGTTTTTGTTCCCGGGAAGCACGGACTTGTTTGGACAGCAGGGTTGGTGGAGGAGGGATGAAACTGGATGTGGTGTGGAGAAATGAGGAGGAATGTATTGATCATGTGTCTTTATTCTGCTCTACAAACAGCCTTAATGCATTCACCAGAGACACGCTGACATACAGTAGTGTTTGTCTTTGTGTCTATGTTTGTGCTTGAGAACGAGAGAGGGGCACGAGGGAGGATGTGAGCAAATCAAAGCTGTATCCAAGTCCCTCTATCGGAGACATTTAAAGGCCACAGAACACTGGAGTAAACATGATTCCCACCCGTATTGATTACTTGAGCAGTGGTTGGAGGGTTTCGGTTTATGTTGTTTATAAACAGCCCGGGGTCTGACTCCTGCCTAATCGATGCTGTGCAGAAAAGACACAGGGTTGGTCGGTCTTTGAGCCGCAGTGTCTTTGCGAAAGCCAACGCTTTCTTGGATATTTTTTTTTCCTCTAGATTCTAGCCTTCAGCACCTTTTCGACAGCCAAAGGTTCAGGGCAACGAGTGTAACGTAGATGAAAGATGGCAGCTCTTTAAACCTACAATAATGCCTGTCTTTTAGTTCCACTTTACTACTTCCACTAACCTCATGATCTCCATCTCAGCTTCTTTTGTCCCGGCTGCCCTCTCGGCCCCTCCTTCCATTTTTCTCTATCCCGTGCTGACCCTGTTGTTATTTCCTTCTTCACCTCTCCACCCATTTCTCACAGCCACACCGACTTTCATGCGCTACTCGCTGTCGGTGTGAAAATCAATAACATCATCTCAACACTGTCTCAGTTTTCAATTAACCACTTTTGAGGCCCGTCTCTTTCTAATCCTTCCCTCAGATCAGATCAGCCGGTGGAACATCGGAGAAGACACACACTCACACCAGGACAGACCCTTACACTCATGACAAACACCATACACTGGAGCTGCTCTTCCTGTACAGCTGTACCTGTTAAAGCTTCACACACACAGTTGATGGAGATGCCATGTGACATTAAGAGGACTGTGTGCGGTAACAAACCTCCACTGACTCTGCAGCTGCATTCACTTCTTAAAAGCTTCTTTAGACGTCCTTCCACCAAGAGTCAGTTGAGGTCAAGTTTTTACGAGCCACATCTCAGCCACGCTTGTTTCTAGTCAGCACATTAAAGGGAACATGTTATGTAACTTTGATGCAAACTAGAATGGATGTCGAAATGAAACATGACAGTAGTAATATTGGAGGAAAAAAACAAGTATTGAGAACCACTGGGTTCTTCACACTGTTCTGTTCTAGATGGACTGATTTACTGTACCTTTAAATGGTTATTGACAGCTGCATACTCCGCCCACCTTTTCAAGGGAAAGACCAGGAGGACAGCTTCACGCAACCATGGCTACAGTTAAGAAAAGGCTGCCGGTCTAACATTAGATTCTGATAGGTCCATGTGCGATCAGGTGTTTTTCCCTGGTGTCATTCTAGCTAACAGGCAGGACACAGGACAACAGACTGTGGTCCAACCAGGATGTTGACATTGGTCGGTAGTTCAGTTTGTTACAACAACCTTGTGTTCATTTAGCGCTTTGCCAAATGAACATCTCCGCCTAGCCTTTTGGGTAGTACGTGATAACAGCCCAGCAGTCGCATGAATAAACCAAATACTGGATGTTGGTACAGTGGTTGTATGGCTACAGCTACGAAGTCAAGTTTTTATAAACTAATTAAACCACTTGTTTTTAGGCACCTTTCCAAAGTTTGGCAAATTGTAAAATATCTACCTTGTTCTAACTGGCACTCAAAGAGATGCAAATATGTAAAAAAAAACTACAAAAAACTTTGATGTACGTCCCCTTTAAAGCTGGTTTAGGTTACCTTCAGGTTTTGGTTCTACCAGTTGAAAATGTAACTTCACTGCCTAGTGCTGTGAAGAGGTGTTCTCCTGGTTTTGGAGTTGGTGCGTCTAATTTGCTAACCTGGGACACCTGTAACATTCACTGATTTTAACACTTAATCAAGAAACACAACACAACCAATCTGTTAATCAACTACAACACTTTGTTTGAAACTCTGTACAACTGGTCAAATAAGGCCACTGATAATTTGCAGTTTGTTTGAATTTCCAGATGTCTTATCTTCACCACTGGACAAAAAATAAATAATGAAATAAAAAATGTTTTCTTTACATATCAACCGTTCATAGTCACACCTTGTTTAA